TAGTATTAAGGAATATATGACAGCTGACTGCAATATTTGCACACCTGCCTGCAGGTAGAATACATGTACTTCCATAAAATGTATCAACTTGTAAACTGTATTTTGGCAAATAAATTAAATTATTTTTATTATTAACGTAGGTTGCAAGTCTCTGCTTCTATGGGTTTTTCAACACAGCCATTTTGTGCATTGTAGTAATTATATACTACATAGTAATATTTTATATTTCGAACGACTCTTTTTATAACATAAAAAGTCAATAGTTTATTTTTTATGTAGCTAATTGTTAAGACGGCAGTGCTTGTATATTTTATGCATAAATTGAGAACAGCTTTATTAAACATTATGACCACAATGAGTTGAAAATGTGCACGTATGAAAGAACCCTTTTTTACTTCTTTTTAATGTTATCTGAAATGAAGTACATATAAGAATAAACAATAATAAACTGAGAACTATTACTGATATTTGTTTCTATTCTTCTTTGCAGGAATGCGTCGTCGGAATAATGTTTGTTTGCAAAGGATGCGATACATCAATAAATAAATAAAATCAGTGCATCTAACCCGTAAAAACTTGTTTTTTTTAACTAGGTATTACTGACTTCGTCTGCAGCCTACCGACTGGACTACACAAATACTTTTGCCTATTTTTTTCTCAAGCAAGCGACTGTAATGGATTTTATTTTATTTGAGAAATTAACTTTACATACCGAAGATTATAGGGATTTATGCATATTACTCACGCCACAGAAGAACTTTATAAACTCTGCATGTGTCCCTAAGTACTTAGCACTGAGAGTAAACATCTGGCATTGGAGACTAGCTCACGTATCCAACATAACTCGTCTGGCGAAATTGGTAAATGGCATCAAAATTGGGGGGGAATATTCGAACAAATTTTGCGAAATCTGCACAAAAGCCAAAACGACTCGAAAACCGTTTGGAAATAACAGAATCAAAGCTAATTTCCCTTTAGAAATTATTCATACAGATATTTGCGGCCCCATTGAAGTTCCCACTTCAGACAACAAAAAGCATTTTATTACATTTTTAGACGAATTTACGCATTTCTGTGTCGTGAAATAGATCGCATTCAAAAGTGAGTGCCTTGACAAAATTAAAGAATTTGTGTGTTTAGATGAAAATCATTTCAATAGTAAAGTAAAGAAAATTAGATACGATAATGGGGGTGAATACTCGAGCAATAACCTACATGCGTGGTGCCAGGCTAAAGGGATAGTACTGGATGCACGCCTCAACCAACGCCATACCTTACACGCCTCAACTAAATGGAAAATCTGAAAGACTGAACAGAACCCTGATGGAGAGAACAAGGGCTCTAATGTTCGACGGCAAGGTTCCAAAGTATCTGTGGGGTGAAGCACTGTTAACAGCAAGTTTCCTGATCAACAGAAGTCCAACAGAAGGCAAAAACAAAATAGCAGCGGAAATGTGGTTCAAGATAAAATCCAACCTATCAAACATCAGAAGATTTGGATCTACAGCATACTATACTATAAATTTTGGCTTACAAAAACTTGACCAAAGATGCGAAGAAATAGATAATAAGAGCGAGGGATGTAAGAATAAACGAAGAAGAGCAAGGAATATATTTAGATGATGAAGAAAACATGGTTAAAATGAATGGACTCTGGCAGTTGACTGAAGATGATCAAACAGAAGTAGATGAAACAAGGCAAAATTCAACAGATAGCAATGACGGGTGTCGAGAAGATGGAGGAAGGACAAAAAGAAGTTTTAGAGAAACAAATAAAGACAGAACAAATGACGGTGCAACAAATGATGGTGGAGCAAATGACGGTGAAGCAAATGTCGGAAGAACAAATGAAGAAGCTGGAAATGATAATAGTGTAAACAGTAGAAACTATTTTGAAAGTAATTTAAATTTTTATAACGTTATACATCCCCAAGAAAGTAAATACAAATTCTTTGAGGGTACTATTGTCAATTGTTCCAAATAAAAAAATTAAAATGAAACTGCTTGATATAAAAACAGCATTTTAATATGGAGATTGAAAGGAGTGTATTTATTTAAATGTTCCAAAAGGTTACACAGCAACAAAGAAGATAAAGTATGCAAACTAAATAAGACTTTGTATGGGTTAAAACAATGCATGTAGTGGAAACCTTAAGAAAAGGTTTTGATCTATGAATCTGCGAAGAAGTATCAAACTATATCGGGTTGGGCTGGACATAACACAAAAAAAAGGAAGGAGTGAAAATTTGTCCGAAAAATTATATCGAATTTTTTTTGAACTAGTTTAATATGAATGAACCAAGAGAGTGCAAACCCCCAACCATTTTGATAGAACAACATCCAAAGCTGAAAATAGATACAGAGAGTCATGAACTCTATAATGAAATGATAGGATTATTATTATATCTGGCGAGTAAAACGAGGCCAGATATTAGCTTTCATGTAAGGTATTACTCTCGTCAAAAGTGCTCCAAATTTAAATGATTTAAATAATGCAAAAACGATTATAAAATTTTTAAAAGGTTCGAAAAACAAAGGTATTCATTTTGGTGAAGGTGATCGTGCTTCGAGGCTACTGAGACTCAGATTTCGCAGGGGATCCAGACACTAGGCGTAGCACGTCGGGTTACGTGATTTGGCTGAACGGTGGACCAGTGGCATGGAGCTCAAGAAAGCAGCCGATCGTAGCGTTGTCAAGTACGGAAGCAGAGTTTATAGCCGCAGCAGAATGCTGCAAAGAACTTCTGTTCATCAGAGATTTCATATATGTAATGACCAATGAGAAATTAGAAATAGAAATGAAAGTGGACAACCAGTCAGCTATTTGGCTTATGAAAAAAGGAATTATGAATAAAAGAAGTAAACACATAGATGTGAGATACTACTATTTAAAAGATCGGATGTAAACAGAATAACAGTAAAATATTGTCCAACGGGTTTGCAGATAGCAGACATACTCACAGAGTGTTTGCCACCTGTGAAGTTTGAGAAGTGTCAAAGAAAACTCGTATCAGAGTGAGTGTTAGGTAGTGATAAGTGCGGGTAAAAGTGAACTAAGTGCGTTTTCGGTCAATATGTTTTATAGGGGTGTGTAATATTTGTATAAGAAATAAGTTATGTAAAGGTGTGATGTCAATTCACATATTCAGTTTAAAAAAAAATGAGGGGGTATTTATACTATTTAAGGGGGCATATGTAATGATTCATTTAAGGGAGTGTGGAAGTGGAGATAGTTAAAAGCATAAATGAATCATTGTTTTTCAAAAAAAATATATATAAATCAAAACAAACAACGGCAACATGTTGTGAATAACTTTGTACTTTTATATACCTAATACTTACTTATACAAAATTATTTGGGGATTGGCATTAAGTTTTCTATCACACGTTTACTTTTATAATTAGATTTAGTTTATATTTAATGTTTTGTTTTGTCTGTTATGAGTATGAGTGAGTTAGATGATATGAGTGAGTTAGGTTAATTAATTTTTTATACAACTGTGTGTTGAAAGAAGTTAGAATTTGTAATTGGTAGGTTGTATAGGAGTTAAAGTTAGTTGAAGGTTTGTAATTGGGTAGGGTGAGTAGGAGTTAAAGTTAGTCGAAGGTTTGTTACAAGGCAGGTCGAGTAGGAGATGAGCTAGTTGAAGGTTTTGATTTGACATGAAGTTAATAGCTCGTGAGGTAGAAAGTTTTGCAATGTTATGTTAAGGGGTAAACAGGAGGGTAATATTGGATAGGTAAACTGTATCTGATTTAAACTTGAGATAGGGTGATGTAACTGTTGGTAAGTATTTAAGAAGTATATAAGTTTGGCAGTAACTCGAAATTTATTATAGTGGTGTACAAATAGTTATAAGAACATTTCTTTTTGTCAGGATGGTCAACATGTGCAGCAGATTGAGGGGGTGTGTTGAGGGAGGCATTTGACCTTCACGGTAGAAGGTCTATGGTGCATACGAATATTAAGTTAATTTGTTTATGACAATCTTTTCTGCACATGAGCTGCAGTCGGTATTTGACACACTTCATATTCAACCATTGAGATGTTTGGTCAGTAATAATATAAGTTTATAAGAGCCGTGTGTTTAAAGCTAATGTTATTAAATAGTGAAGAGAGAATGAAATAAATATATTAAAGAAGTCTCCTGGTCTCATTCATCGCTCCCGAACATAACAAAGATGTAGCGGGGTCAGTTAGCGTATTCAAATTTATTATAATAAGGACTTCATCTGATAAGAAAAAATTATTCCTTTATGTAAAATTCAAGAAACTAACTATAATTTGACATTGAAATTCAAGAAAATCATTGGCAAACAGTTAGAAATTGCAATATAAAGACAACCCAAAGTGAGTATGGATTTTGTTTCAACCCCCCTTGCGATTAATAGTTCAATGCCCTTCCGGAGTCTATTGAGGTACACCCAAGCACTTTTTTAATTTTATTTGGACCTATTTATCCATGTTCCTTTAAAAAACACAATTTTGTTTATCCCACTTATATAATGTTTTAAATCAATATGTATTAATGTTTTAAATAATAAAAAATTGTTTTAAATCATATGGATAGGTTGAAATAAAATTTAAATTAAGTGTAGCAGTTATGCTTATGCGAAATATATATGCACCCTGTAATAAGAAGAACATACATCATCCTTAAATAATGCTCTACTTTGCATCTTTAATTGTATTCGCCAAGGACAAGGACAATAATTATTAATAAGAAATGTTAATTATGGGATCTTCAGTATGTGGCGAGGCAAAACACGAATAAATGTATGGTATTTTTTTTCTTTTTGCAACTATTTAACCTCCTTCTTTCAGCAGATCCAGCTCATCATCAGTTAAGTTCACAAAATCAACATTAATGCAAGCTAAGCTGCTGGCAAAAGCTAGTAAACAATAAAAACATAAAAAAATTGTTAGTCCTTCACAAAACTATTCACTCTCGCCCTAACATTCCATTTAATTGTAAACAATAGTCAAACTTTCCACTTACCAATGTAAACACAGGGTTCAGATCTGTTTTCATACATTTGTTTTATATGATCCTGTTCGTTTCTCAAAGATGCCGTGTTATGATTTACTTCTGCACGTTCCTGTCGCTGGTTTCTAGTTCGTTTCTTTTCTTCTGGTGGAGATGGAGAGGTCGGAGCCGCTGAGTAGAAAAAGGCGGGAAATTACTTATCTCCAAGATTATGAATACATTATGAATAAAGTGAATTGCAACTAACCTGGCAGGGCATCTTGTGATGATATTTGCATCACTAAAGCCAACTGCTGCCGCTCCGACATGGGCGCTATGACCTGAGTCCGGGGCGAGCCCTCGGGCACGCGCCCGGAGCCCCTCGACCGAGACGTCGACAGCATTCTCCGGGCATGCCCGCTCCCCTGCAAACACACTATCTCTTGAAAACAACCAATATATTTAAACATATATATATATTTAAGCAATCACAATAAAATGATTCGCCACAATTGGGCGCCAATTAATAACAGCAGGTGTTGGAAGAATTTATACCTTCCTACTTTGCCGGGATAAAGTAATGGTAATTAATTTACCAATGGGCTCTCGTAACAAACACTAAGAAAGCTCATATTTATTGTAGGATAAAACATTTTAAAGTCCGCGATAGTATTAAATAAAGTGGCGAAATTCGAAGGCTGTGACTACGACGTCATAGCACAGATAATACTAAGAAAAAAAAATTGTTTTTATGTTGTCATTTAATAAATGCGCACGACAAAGGATACCTTGTACATACAGTTTTGTTTGTAAAGAAATTTTATAATGTGCCAGATTCTGGCATGATTCTCTAAACCCTAAAATAAAGATAAAAGCATGACAAGATGATCGGCATGTATTTTCCTTATTATGTTCTTTATTAATAATAATTTCTCGTCTCGCAAATGGCGAGTATATGCACAGACATAACCAAGTGGCCAGGATACTATACCAACAATTTGCTTTGAAATACATTTTTTTAGCATCCGAGGTTCCTTACTACAGGTATGCTCCAGAACAGGTTTTTGAAAATAGCCATGCCACATTATATTGGGATGGATCTATCATTACAGACAGGACTATTGTGGCTAATAAGCCCGATATTGTATTGATAGATCGACATTAACGCCGTGCAGTAGTTGTTGATGTCGCTGTCCCCCATGACGAACCTTGTAAAAGCTGAAAAAGACAAAGAAAACAAATATCTTGATTTAGCTCGCGAGATTGCTGACATTTGGGACATCGATTCACCAATTGTGCCGATAATCATATCTGCTCATGGTCTTAGAGCATTCATACCTGGAGAGAGCATGGACGGGCGTACCCCTCCGCCAAAACAATCATGGCCAGTGGCCATGATCGTTATATAAAACTAGTTCCGCTACCACTTTAGATCGTTCCGCAACGTGAGTCGGAGCTCCCACAAAAATGGAAAATTATCTTGTTTTCCCACGCGAAAACCGATCTGCCACTTCAACCTTGCTGAAACATGGTGTTTCCTAACATATACAAGTATTTTTATGTTCTAAAAAGTTAGTATTCTGGTATGAAATTCAATTAAAAGAAAAGGCGCGAAATCACGAACGAATGACAAAAATAATAGGTAGAAATTCATAGTGATGTGACGAAAAATGAATGAAATGAATCAATGGTATTTTTTATACGGTAAACATTCAACCAGATTTAATTAAGTGTATCTGTCGATACAAATAGCATGTTGATAAAACAAATATACATCGACAGATCTTATAAAAAAAACAACTATTCAATCATTCACGATCTATAACTTAACCAAACAAAGGCATCGATTCTTCCTGCTTAAAACTAAATTTAATATTAGTATCTAAAGAAAAGTTTACTAGAAAAAAAACCACGCGGACCAGGCAGCGGACGGGACTCGAACCCGCACCCTTCTCAATCCAGGCGAATGCACTGACCATTATGCTACCACGGCCCTATTGGCCACGTCGAAATTTTCCTAGCCTTAAGCTGCAAGGCAGCGCCATCTCTTCACATTGTAGGTAACCCACAATGTCAAATGAATACTTTTTCAAGTATGAAACATTTGAATGAAGAAATAGCGATTATAGTTATGTTTTTATTTATTTTTAAGCATTTAACTGCTAGATGTTTAAATGTAAAGAAAAGTTTACTAGAAAAAAATCCACGCGTCACACACGTTGTTGTCGAAAATTGAAGCTTTAGAGAATCATGCCGGAATTGACGCCATTATTAACTTTCTATTTTTTTTGTTTGTTTATTGGCAATACAGTGGTGACGATTCTGGCATGATTCTCCAAACTTAAAACTAAATATAACATCAATCTCTCCTTTTCATTCTGTGTAGAAAATGACAAGGATACACTGTTGTCATATTAAGTTTAGGTTTAGAGAATCATGCCAGAATCGACACTTAAATGCACTAGAAAAAGTTGAGGATGATTTTGACGAGATCACAGAATTCTTGGATGTGCCATACATGTCGAATTTTACCACGAAACCACGTTGTTGGATACGTAGCCAGCTTTGTTGTCAAGTTCTTAACAAAAAAATTGAAATGCTGTCATTGTATTGATAATTTAACTGCTAAAAATCATTGATGGTTTCATGAATTTGTGATGTTAAAAGATAGAAGTGGATTATCATATGCCTCTGAAGATGTATTTTTAATATGCTTGGTTTCAGAATCTATAATACAAAATATAGATAAAGTGTCGCACATAAAATCAAATTTAATATATAAAAAAAATGTAATTGATGCCATGAAAAAATTCATCGGGCCCGTCCCGATTCTAAAAGATATTTTGATTTCGACTCAAGTCATGTTAATGGTGCCATACATCAGATTAATTGAATTCGACTAGTAGTGGAGAAGTTTATACAAATACGACTCCATTACATTTGGAAGAAAGAAAATTTGCAAAAGTCAGGGAATTTTAAAAGGCAAATTTATCGTAAACTTGTTCAAGTTAGTGGCATGTAATTTTTATTTTTTGATAATAAACTTTATTCTTTTGTTAACCTGCTTATTTTAATAGTTTTAACTATATATATTGTTATTATAGTTTTATTTCAATTTCTAGTGTCGGCATGGTTAATAATAATTATAAATTTACTCAACACTGGTGTCGATTCTGACATGATTCTCTAACTTAAAACCAAATTTAACATCAGTCTCTCCTTTTCATTCTGTATAGAGAATGACAAGGATGCACTGTTGTCAAATTTAAGTTTAGCTGTAGAGAATCATGCCAGAATCGATATCACTAAATGTATAATAAATATTTATATATATCGAAAGTCTCACTAAACCGAAACTAACTATGCAAGCGTGATAAAATTATAGGATTCACGCCTCCGTGCATCACGTATATTTTCAAAAAAAAAATACTAAAAATGATATATATTCATTTAATATGTACGGATTTTGTAATTGGTATTGTTAGTGTGGATCGACAAGAGCATAAAATATTTTCCCTATTACTGGGGTAGCAGTTGAGCAGCTGGCTACATTTTTTTTTGACATATGACACCGTCCTTGAAGAGTGACATACACACACTACAATAATGAGTTGCCCCATAACCGGAGCTGTTGTTTTTTGATAGCGCGGTATCTAGTGGAGTGAAGCGAGACCAATCATTTAATCATAAGGCTAGGAAAATTACGACGCGGCCGCTGCCTGGTCCGCGTGGATTTTTTTCTAAAGTAGAACTTTTATTAGCTGCAGTAAAATGATGTTTTGTGGGTTACCGCTTATTGAAGAAAAATAAATAGGGATGTAGCTAAGTGAGTAAGTGAATCATTCAATAAATGAGTGATCAGTTTGGTTTTATTTTAGAGGTTTAATATTAAGTTGTAATGTTTTTTATTCTATTATTATTACTTTAGTAAAGGATTGATCTTTTTCAGTGGAAGTTTATGGACGTACATCCAAAATTAAACAAAATTGTCATAACAATGTTATTTATTAATCAGTCATTTTCGGAATCACTATCGCTTCCGGTCACACTAATGACAAATTTGTCTGTCACTTTATTTATAATATGATCGAGGTGCCACATTTTGTCTTCCTCTTTTATAGTGTGAGACACACAGTCACTCCACTTAGTCGGTGTCACTTTGTTGATTCCTTCTTGGAATAAAGTTTTCACTTCTTGCATTCTATATGTTATATTATTTGCGACGTGCCCCTTTACCTGAGCCCGAACCAACTCGATGGGGTTCAATTCACAGTGATAAGGGGGCAATCTTAAAAGTCTGATACCTTTTCAGCAATCTCGTCCATGGTATATTTCTCAGTATGATTTTGTAGTTTCACAATATCTATGAGAGTGGCCTTCACCATATTTGGTTCAAATGTAATATTTTTAGTCGTCTGCCACTCTTGAATTCGTGCTTTCGTCCACGACATCTTTGGGATTGTTTCGATCTTCCTAGAATGATAGGGCGCGTTGTCCATTACGACTACTGCATTTGGCTTGAGTCTGGGTAGAATGCCGTCGAACCACTCCTCGAAACACTCTGCGTTCATTTTATCATGGTAATCTTCTGTACCTTTCTTTACTTCAAACATAAGAAGTCCGTTGTCCAGGAAGCCTTCTTCTCCGCCTATGTGACTGATTATGTCGGTTTTTCTTTAAATGTAAGTTTTGGGCCAGAGTTTTCGGGAGGTTTTAGTGATTCACAGTCGTTCTCCTTGTGCTTAATTAATTATTAATTAATCTTAATTCTGTAGATTTCACTTCAAACACATATTTTTAAACGTTCCTGACCCAAAGTTTCTTGGGTGCACTTAGAGCTACACGTGGCCTTATTTTCTTAGGAGATAAAAATGTATCTCCATCTTGTGATGTGCTCAACAGAGCATCCATGTCTTCGATGTAACAAAAAAAAAGCTGACACGATTAACAAAAATAGGTAGGTAACGAAAACAAACACAACGTAACAAAAATTTTTTTGTGCACTCAAAATAGAAGTTAGAAGCCGAATGAGCGAATGACAAATGAAATAAAATGGCGGACAAGCGTCATCGTAGCACCGTAGCTAAAAACCAGTACCAACTTGGGATTTTATACAGCCTTTTATTTATATGAATAATAAATAGAATTAAGTATGATCATTATGAGTTACTTATAGAACGATTAGATTTTCTGTGAACCTAAGCACATCCCTATTGAAATTAGGCTGTCAACATTATTTTATGGAATGACATTTTGAAACGTCATTTTACTGCAGCTAATAAAAAGTCGAAGTATAGTAAACTTTTCTTTAGATTTAAAATAAATTATTTAATATTAGTTAACTAGAGGAGTTCGATGGCGTAGACAATTAGCTCGTTCGGCTGCGATCGTTGAAATTAAGCAACTTTCGCAGTGGTCGGTCAATGGATGGGTGACCATGATGATGATTAGTTAACTCTGTTACGGCCGACACGGTCTAACGTGAATCATATCATCCTTGAAAATTTCTCGCATCATAATTTCCCAATCCAGCACATCTATCTAATACCTACTCGTAGGTATTAGACCTACCTACGGTTATTTTCGGTTTCCGTAAGAGGTCGTAATTATCCCTTCGGCTGTTTTGTGAAGATTTTATTCTCATTTATTGTATAATCTGAGATGCGTAACCTATTTTTATCTTTTTGGGTTCTATCAGTTTTTGGCGAGATCGTCCTAAATCTCAATTATTCATTTGGTGAAGATGCCAAGTTTCGAATATACAAAAACAAACTTCTCAATTACAAACAGTAGGAACTTATTTCGTGTTTGGTTATTTTAAGAAATATGATTAGTTTATAAAAGTTGGATTTAAAAACATTTCTAACAAATATTAAAAACTGCTTCATAGAAACAAAACCACTAAAACCAAAGAAACAAATAATACATTAAAGTCTAAAGTACCTTCATTTAAAGTCAAAATAAAAATTTGGATTGGAATTGGTGATTGGAATGCATATCCCTGAGACCATACCTATTATTAATTATCTTGTTAATTATTTGACTATGTACTTTAGTTATAAATAATTAGGATCTGCAGGTATTACTTAAAGAATTAGTACATAGATTTCTTACCCTTTTAGCTTGTTTTTATGTGAAGTGGATTTTTATGTATGTTATAAAAGATTTTACCTTAAATTATTTAGTATTATATACAAGATATACGTGTACATTACCTACGAAAGACCACAATAGCGCAAGTGTAACGCTTTTGTTCTGCGATCGTGAATGTTAAGTAAATTTCACAATGGCCGATCTTAGGATGGGTGACCAACCCAAAATGTATTATATCGAGTTCCTTTGTTACTGCTCGTTGCACCTGCAGCCGTTAGCCCCCACTAAGCCGCATTAGGCCATGACACATTAATAAGATTATAATAAATCCGCATCGAAACAAAGACTTACCTACCTTTTGACGTGACAACGTCTTAAATTAGGTTGCGGCTGGGAGTCACTTATGAAAAAGTGTAACGCTCGGTAACGTTACGATGAGTTTAAGTTTACATGTACAATGTTGACGTGACAACGTCTTAAATTAGGTTGCGGCTGGGAGTCACTTATGAAAAAGTGTAACGCTCGGTAACATTACGATGAGTCTCTCGTGTTAAGTTTAAGTTTACATGTACAATGTTTTAGTAAACAAAATATATTTCTATAGTTCAAATTTGTGCAATTCTTATTTTCATTCAATTCCTTGTTCCTATTGTGCAATTTAATTATATTCATATCAATAAATATTCTACCGAGAAAAAGACGTTGTCACGTAAAATCTTCGCCCGTAAAACCGACTTTACAGGCAACCATTTTTTTTTAGTAAACAAAATATATTTCTATAGTTAAAATTTGTGCAATTCTTATTTTCATTCAATTCCTTGTTCCTATTGTGCAATTTAATTATATTCATATCAATAAATATTCTACCGAGAAAAAGACGTTGTCACGTAAAATCTTCGCCCGTAAAACCGACTTTACAGGCAACCATTTTTTAAAAAAATAAAAGATCTAGCTAATATATTATTATCACCGTCATTTTTCATTATTGTATAAAATTTATGTATTTTTTTAACGAAATTAACCCTTAACCAACCTTAACATCAAGGAACAGCAATCATTTACGTGCTATTTGGCCCCAATTAATCACATTTAAATTTAGAGTGGACCTCCGTAGGTCCTTCTTAAATTTAGTGTGACATTTCTAATTTTAGAGAAAATTTGACATTTAGAACGCGTTTCAGAATACCATTTAATCATCTAAATCTAAGTTGAATAACTTAGCGACGTCAATTTTAAATTTAGAGATAGTGTCATTACAGAATACCAAATTGAATTTGACAACTCTATATCCAATTTTAGTTAGTTTTAGATATAAGTTGGCACGCCAGAATTGGGCCCAATATCTGTTTAAAACCTTTACATTGATTTTACATATAAAGTGACATGATTCTGTAAAAATAAAAATATGTTCGATGATTGTTCAACTGCAACGCGAAAATAATCCTAAATATTTAGTAAATGTGGTTAACGTGTTCAGACAAGGACAGACAAAGTAATTTAACCGCTCTTTCGGCTCGCTCTCCGAAACTAGTGAGCATTCCAGTTGTATGTAATACTTATTAGTTCCATGTATTAAAGATAAATAAAAAAAAATTTTTCAAACTCTAAAGTACCGTCCCCCGTCCCCGTCCCGTCTTGGTTCTTCGAAGATTCCCGTCTGATCTTGCTACATTTATAGTAATCTGTGCGTCTGATGCGTTGTATAGTAGTCTGTGGTTGCTGTAATTAATTTTCTGAAATACCTAGTTACTTTCCTACTTTTCGTGCAAACGAAAAATTATTGAAAAAATTACATCACATGTAATGTGATTTCAATTGATAGTGTATTTCTAATCGTGTTTTCAAGAAATGTGGCGACCAACCTTTACACTCATAAAAAAGGTTATTATTCCTTCATTGAGAGATAATTTAACATTTTCAAAAATTCTTTATTCAACTAAAAGCAGATTACCCAAATCTACTGTTAAGCTGACTCTTGTTAGTGCAAGTGTGGGTGTTGTAATTGGCGCTGGTTATGGAGGCTATACGCATTATAAAATTAATGTAAAGAAGAACTTGACACCTTTAGAGAGTGAGGAATTTGCATTTTTGAAACAGTTGCCAGATTATAAGCCTCAGTATAAAGTAAGTTTCTGAAACTACCTATTTAAGCATACTTATTTTCTTATTAATTTACCTAGTATGACAACGTTTTTCTACCCTTGGCTACATTAATGTTAGAATACTGTGACATCCCTTGTTGTCGCTTGTTAACTGTTTTGCTGGACATCAAGCTGGTGTATGTAATTTTTTAGCAATGCATATATATTAACTAGAAGTATATTGCACCAGTCCTCTGTCGGGTATAATATGAGCTATAATAAGAGGCAGTTCTCCCATTTTTGTTTTTTCAATACTTTTTTGTGATAAAGAAGATTTAAGAAATATGCGAGTACCATTTAATTTGGTGATATGATTGTGTTTTTCTTACTAGTGTATAATTTATTTACGAAATTTTATTGACCTAATTTTAATAAAATGGTACAAAGGGTTTGTATTGATGCTTATAGCATTCTATACTGGCCAACCTTGGGGCAAAATGATAAACACATTGTACTAACTATATGTACAATTTTGCTGTAGGTAGTAGAACAAATAAAACAATCTTTAATCTAGTCATTATGTATATAATTTTGACATAAAAAGCTATATATGTTGAGTTAATGTTGTGTCTAAGAATTATGAGCTGGGCGAGCAGATAACAGCTAAGCGAACTGATACAGCTGAGTGACGACATGTTGAACAAAGCAAGCTGAGTGAGCAATTTATTTATTTTTTTAATGTGCAGACTTTACAAACAAACTTGCAAATAATGCAAGAATGGTGAAGTGTTAAAAACTTTGTATTGTTTTTTTATCTGTGCATAATTTAACTGCTTTATTTCCAATTCCCATATGATGTTCTAAAGATGTCTAAAGTTGATTAGATATAAATATGTCTTAAAATTTAAGTCTAATAACTAAGCATCAGCAGGCCACAGGCCCTCCAGCAGCAGGGCGAGAGTGATAGAAGAAAACCCACCTCTCCTCATTCGTATATTTGTTAATAGATATGCATGTAATTCAAATAAGGCTCAAATTAAAAAATTAATACTATTACTTCCGAATTGTCCCTCCATCATTTATTATTTTTTTTTATCAAGAAATTAATTATGGAAAAGTGTTAAGCTTTTGGGAAATTCAAATATGTATCTGATTATTTTTATTTCTTGCTAGATTGTAATTTAAATTTCTATGACTCTGGTGTATGGTGAAAACTCGAATGAGTTTACGTCACACCATACTTAGACCCGGTAATGTATCTGTATGATCATTTATCATTATATAAAATGAGACTACATTTGCAAAAATTAAGACAGTCATCATAATGACTTGAAGCATCCTCACAAATGCTTTAATATTCACTCATTGTATTGCCAATATTTAAGTTCATATTCAATTTCTTAGCAGATTTGTGTTGTATGTACCGAATACTAAAAAGTTTTGAAGTTGTTTTGAATAAAATACTTTGTTACAGTTAACTCTACCAGAGAATAAATATGTATTTGAATTTTGCAATGGTTAATCATTGTTTACAGGTCATCAATGATTCAGATTCAAGCAACTTGCATTTAATACTGTTTCAATACCGCACATGCCCGTTTTGCTGCAAAGTACGTGCATATTTGGACTCCCGTGGTATAAGCTATGAGATAGTGGAAGTCGATGCTGTCCTACGCCAGGCAATCAAATGGTCGGGATACAAAAAAGTACCTATAGTGTTAACAAAAGTTGACGAAGGCTATCAGGTGCATAGAAACAAAAACTCCTTTTCTTTTTGCATGATTTCCTTCTCTGATTTTCATAACATATATTATTAGTTAGATTTCTAAAGTATTGAAAAATATGGCTAATACTCACATTTGCACAAAAATATTCTGATGCTGCACACAAAACTACATTGGCAAGTGTGTATTTTCATATTTTTCCTTCCTGCTTAGTCTGTTAATTTGGTTTCAGCAATTACTAGATAGCAGTGCTATTATATCCGTACTGGAGACTTTTTTGAAAGACAGATCCTCTAAATTACGTGATGTCGTTAAGTTCTACCCCGCAACTAAGTATACGAATGACGATGGCAAACAAACAACTGATATAGCCAACAAATACTTTATTATGCACAATGCTGTTGTTCCTGATGAGCGAGAAAGAGCAACTGAACAGTAAGTGATGATTGTATGATTTAAAATAACGTACTATTGTGTAAAAATGTTAACACCCAAGAAATTGCAAAAATTAATCTCCATCAATCCATCCAGATTGTTATAGAGCAGTTAATGTGTGCGTGTGTATAGATATTTTTTGGGCCGCTTTCATGCAGTTATTACCGTATCTAGGCGTGTTTATAATCAAAGAACACAAGTATATGTTTTGATGTGATATTTTAGAGAAGAGCGCGAGTGGCGACAGTGGGCCGACAAAGTATTGGTGCACACATTATCTCCCAACGTGTACCGTACCACCAGCGAAGCCCTGGAAACGTTCAAATGGTTCGAGGAGGTGGGTGGGTGGAAGCTGTCCTTTCCCACCTGGGAGTGTGCCCTCATGGTCTACGGTGGCGCGATGGCGATGTGGATCATAGCTAAACGACTTAAAAAAAGGTAATTCACATTCCTACTAATCTGTACTTTCGATTAGAGGTGGGTCGTCGACGTATTTTTCGTCGAGACGAGACTAAACCGTCCACTACCGTCCATCGACTAGTCGATCAACTAGTTGAATCCTTCAACTAGTTGACGTGATAACGGCAAGGGTTGAGGGGTTCATATCGACTACGCGGTGACTGGTCTACGGGCGCGACGCAACAACGACGACCGACGGGGTCTTTATTTAGTATTCATTTTACATTATAGTCATTTAAATGTTTACAAAATAAATCACAAATTAAAGTCATAAAATAATCATTCAATTTAAACGAACTTTGCACTAAATTCGCATTCACGTGTCCCTTGACCTTGACCTCGCGACACACTAATTTCAAATTTCAATAAACAAAACTGCAACTACTTGAGGTAAACAATTATTATAAACCCGTTCATCCTGCACTGCATCGTTTAGCCAGATCCATCGACGTACTCTTTCACGCAATATTTATTTATTTTATTTAAACTTTATTGCAACATAAAACAGCAAATGGCGGACATAATGCCATAAGGCATTCTCTACCAGTCGACCAGTAAGAGCGTGAGAAAAAACTGATATGACGGGGGCGCAATAAAGACAAATGTAAGATAAACAAAGGATACAAATACTCTTAACAGAATACACACACATAATACACACATATATATATATATATATATATATATACATAGATACACACATATACATACATACAATACATACATAATATATACATATAATATCAGAATACTCTTGCCTTTTCACTTTAACAACTCTAGTTTAAAAAACGAACAAATATCAACTCCCATGCCATATGCTTAAGTTTCAAATTGCTTTATTTCAACGAATGAACGAACGTATGGACTTGTAACCGGTAAACCGGATACGTTTACGCGTCGACGTCGCGTTGTCAGAAGATATTGTGATGTTAAATTCTACTCCACTGCCCTCTTATACTCTACCTCAGAGCGCAGGGGAAGCAATGTAAGAAAACCAAGAAATTAAAATAATGCTATAATTATATTTTACCAACTATAGATTCTAAAGTAGATTAATACAGTAGTTCTAAGTTCTAGTTTATATAAATTGCCAAGTTGACATGAAACGTTATAACTATATTTTACTAACCCTAAATGTCACAACGAGGCTGAATACAGTAATTTTAATGTTAGAGTTTATACAAATTTCCCCAGTGGGCAAGAAATGTTATAACTATATTTTACCAACTATAACTCTCCTAACTAAGCTGAATATAGTAGTTTTAAAGTGAGAGTTTATATAAATCACAAGTTAGCATGAATCTTAGAATTATATAGACATCAGACATGCATAACAATCTACCATGTACTTACATAAGTTCTTAAACTATATCTAATATATTTTACCCACTCTGCAATGGACTGTCCATTGAGAGACCACAAAGACTAGACTTAATAAGCTATTTAGTGGATTTCAGAGGTTCTACGGCTCGTTTGATCGATATTGGTGATAAACTTAGTTAATTCTAGTTCTCAGTGAGACAACCAGTTATATAGATATCTTAATATATATAAATCTCGTGTCACAATGTTTGTCCTCAATGGACTCCTAAACCACTTAACCGATTATAATAAAATTCGCACACCATGTGCAGTTCGATCCAACTTGAGAGATAGGATAGTTTAAATCTCAAATTATAGTCGCAATTTTAATTTATTGCAAATTATTACTTTTGGGCGGTACGAAGTTCGCCGAGTCAGCTAGTATGTATATATATAGAAATGGGTAGGTCGGGGTCCAACCTCGCCTTGTGGTTCCTGCTCCACGCTCACCCGGGGTTAGTTATAAAAATACCTTGTTTAGGATAGGTTTAGCAGTGTATGATCTGTCCGCAGTTACGGCCGGGTTACATGAAACCGGAGAGCCGCTTGCAACCTTTATTGTAATAATCTCACGCGTCCCCTTTGGTCCGTGTACAGAGAGAGAATCTCCTTGTTATTCCTCCAGTATTTCTTGAGGAGAACGTATAAGCCGTTCGAAATATATAACTATCCGTAAGTATTTTGTTTCCTATCACCAGTTACTGCCCCGCCTTGCGAGGTTCCAGGACCGTCCACCTCACCATACAGAAGATCAACAGAAAAGTTATTTTTCATAGCCACAACTTGCAAAATAAGTAGGAAAAAGAGTTACTCCAAGATACCTGCGAAACTTTATCAACCCGAATTACAGTTCGGTTAGCGTCTCCGCGCTATTTCCGCCAATATCCTTCAGGATATAAACTTTTCGGATCTATTTCACGACTCCGACGACGAGGGTAGGGTCCTCCTTATAATATACTTTGGGCAGAAGACAAAATACGAATTGAACTTTTCCGAAAACAGAATGTGAAATTTTAAAATGTTGTTTTGTCAACTGAGCATAGATGATAGACCACCCACTCCCAAATATGTGTCTATGATTTGTTTCTCTCTCCAACTGAAGGCAAAGGCCACAGTCAAACAGACAGCCGCCGCATTCGAGACGAACCAACGAATAAACTCAAAACTATATACCTATGCTCGCCGTAAGCGGAGGAAAAGAGAATACCTACCTAAATCAGCGAGGAAATTCAATTTCGAGTAAAATTCAAAATCGATTAAAAACAACGCCCGATTGAGAACTCAAATCGATATGGGAAAAATTATTCAAAATTCAACAACCGTCAAACTCCATCCATTCATCCACACGCACCAACAGAGATTCACTGCCTTATTACCTTTTTTTTTTTGACGTGACAACGTCTTAAATTAGGTTGCGGCTGGGAGTCACTTATGAAAAAGTGTAACGCTCGGTAACGTTACGATGAGTCTCTCGTGTTAAGTTTAAGTTTACATGTACAATGTTTTAGTAAACAAAATATATTTCTATAGTTAAAATTTGTGCAATTCTTATTTTCATTCAATTCCTTGTTCCTATTGTGCAATTTAATTATATTCATATCAATAAATATTCTACCGAGAAAAAGACGTTGTCACGTAAAATCTTCGCCCGTAAAACCGACTTTACAGGCAACCATTTTTTTTTATAAGTCTCAAGGCGAATATTATAGTCGAATAAAAAAATCAACTATTACCTCAATGCTACCAACCTAATCAATGAAGTTTGACAGCTACGCCGACGTAAGCGGTTCGCTATCATAGACAAAACAGCTGTCCTACGTGTGTCAGTTATTTAAGTGTCAGTGTCACGCCCTGTTTAAAAACAAACACTACAATATGAACGCTGTGGACTCTCAGTTTAGCCGTCTATGAATTCAACTAGTTAACGAATAAACTGTAGACCGTCGAAGCGTCGATTGAACGTAGACCGTCTATTTAAACCGTTCGTTAATTCAACGCCCATCGCTACTTTCGATTATACTACTAAAGCTAAAGCCTGTGCGACAGCGGACTAGCCTCAAGTGTTTCATATATAAAAAGCTTATGGGAAAAACTTGTTACAATTTCGTTTATTTAGCTCTGAATAGGAATGAGAAAAGAGTTAAAGTTACACGAAGAGCCGTCCTTCTATTTTTTTATAATTTACCATTTTAGGTTCAATTAACTTTACAGTAAACTGCTGACTATAATGTATATGAACTGCCCTGGTTTGTTAATATGGTCATTTGTGTATCACATTCAGTATTTAAAATCTGCTTTGAGGTTAATACTATGCTATAATTTCTTTATTATGCGACTAATACTGATTGGTGCTGTTTGCAATTCATTGTTTCAGACACAACATCACGGACGCACGACAGTCTTTGTACGACGCTGCTAACGAATGGACAGCCGCTGTGAAGAAACGAGGGCGATTCTTAGGTGGAGACGAGCCTAATTTAGCCGATGTGTCGGTCTACGGAGTATTAAGTAGTATTGAGGGCTGTCAAGCTTTCCAGGACCTTAAAGCGAACACAGAAATCGGCAAGTGGTATGACGACATCAAGAACACAATACAAGGGACTACCGGCAAGGTAATGGCAGTGCACGCGTAACATGCACCACGCAGAATCGTATTTCTCGATCAGTGGTAAACTTATACTTTGCGTCCTAACTAAAGTGTCGTGTAAATATTTTTAATATTTATGCTGTTCTGACAAATTGTCCCTGAAAGTACATATCGAGTGAACGCGCATTTGCTATTTTCATTTCAATCAATAGCCAGTGGTAGTGCAGTTATCGTATGACAATCGTGATCTAATTATCGTTCGATAATTCAGCCTTGTAGTGTGCGCACTAACTCTACATTTTTGAGTTAGAATACCCACGCTTTGGTCAGAAGCAGGTAGAATGGTGGACCGACTATTTATATTGTCAATATATGTATAGCGCATTGTATATGGAGTAGCCGTACACTGAAAATAACTTGCACTGTATTGTTAACTTTGCTGTGTATAACGCAAGTAAATTTTAACCTCCTTATTAATAAACAAATAAAGAATAAACTTGGATTAGTTACTTCATGTTTTTTCTATGTTCATTGAATGACAAATGGCATTTGAGTGACATGAACAAAACACGGCGTAACTAGTCTAAGCTTATTCCTTGTTTATTAATAAGGGGTTAAGAGAGTGTTCTTGTTGGGAATGTTGGCTGATAGTTTGGAGTATAAGCACTATGCCTTATTCATAGTAATTTCTTCATGCGAAGTATGCAAGCAAACATTTATTGAATAAGAATCGGCGAACATTGTTTGATAGATCAATTGGAACATGATTTTCGGTACTCCAATTTGTCGGTTTTTGATCGGATAATGAACTCACCGAACCGTTTAACGGAAAAATTTAAAATCTCAAGTGCGCGCTTGCTCTTATATTAAAGCAATCTTTTGTGCCTTTGATCCAACTTTGATCGCTTTGTGTATTACTTTAATTAGGTTTGAAACAGTACGTAAAATACAATATTAGTTTATTTATTTAAAATACATATTTTCTTTAGGAATGGTTGATTTCCGCAGTCTCGTGGAATAATAACATTTCTCTACTTATCTCAAAAGTACTTGTATTTTATAAACCGATACATATATTATACGTCATAGAGGTAATCAAAAACTCACAGTATAAACTTTTGCATTTCAAATTGTTAAGTAACTTAGTTAATAGTGATTGAATTTACAACAAAATAATGATGAAAATTCCCTTTCAACAGATAGTTAAAAAAAAACAATGTTATTTGTAAATTGTCTTTTGTAATTTTCAATTCTAAAACTTTAATGATACAAGTTTGGTTTTACAGCTGTATACATAGGTTACATTTTCATTTAGTTTTATCGTATTTATTTTTTTTGCAGTCAATGCCTGATTGTTTTAAAGTGATTATTAGATATAGTGCTAAACATTATAATATTTACACATTATAATAAAAAAGTAAGGCATTCGATCAAAAACATTAAAAAAAAACAGAAAATTAGCCTAAACAAGCTTTGAAACCGTGTCCAACTTTTTTTGGAGTAAAAACATATACATTTATAGAAACATGACACTTTCGGATTGCTCAGGGCTTGTTCAGTACAAGACACGAACAATATGCGAGAAAGTATTCGTATCGCCATCGGCACAGTTTCTATGGACGGACTTAGTAAGGGCTGCTTAATTTCTAGAAACTTTGACGATGGCGATAAGAATACTTTCTCGCTAGTTTTTCGAATTTGGGGTACTGATTATGATAGCAGTCTTTCGTTACGTATATAACACACCCACAAAAATACTTTAAAGCTTAAATGATGTGTAGAGAATAGACTAGTTTACTTCACAAACCATAGCTAATGGCGACAATCAAAAGAAGTCTTAATAATTTTAGGGTATCTTATAGAACACATTGTGATTCGTTTTGTTAATTTGTTAATACAATGTTTAATTTTAGTCGTTGTTTTTTATTAAAACCCACCTGAAATAGACAATTCAAATAAAGCAAGTAAATCAAATTCAAAAAGTTTATTTCCATAACTTCGAAAAGAAGATAATAATTAGTTCAAACACCGTCGTGTTTGTTAAAGTCGTCTTTACGAAAAAGTCTTAAATCTAAAGCAAACAGCACAGGTTGGATTTAAACTAGTCTCCTTTTGCTATCACCTTGGTAGACGCATGAAACACTTGGCTTACATGGCTGAAATAAGTTATTTATGCAACTGTTGTATGTATGTATGAGGGGTATTAAAACCTTAGATTAATACAAAAAGGGTAGATACGGTACGCTCATACTTGCATCAAACAAAAACTGATCCCACGGCAGCGCGAACGGGACGGCGAGATCCGCGTCACTGCATTCCCGATCCGAGCGAAACGGCACGTTAAGTTGCAACGGCCGCGCGAACGAGACGGCGAGATCCGCGTCACTGCACTACCCACCAATCACGCGACCAGTACTCGACGTCACTACCGAATAAGATTCAAAAGAAACAGCAATTTTTAATGAAAAAATATATTTTATAGTACTTCCGAATGAAAAGTGATGCCGTGGGTTCTATTTTTAATTCTTGAGCAATTTGAGCACTTTTTAAAAACATACTTAGGCATTGTTTTATCATATAAACACAAAATTTTATCAATATTTCGTTTTGGCGTTTAGATGTACGTCGTTTGCATGTCAAGTTGTGACTAAAGCGATTAGGGTCGTGGACCACAATTTGTGCTGATCACTTTTGTGAGGCTAGTGCCGTATCTACACTTTTTGTTTTAATCTAAGATTAAAACACTAATGTGGGTTTATCACACGAGGCGACACTTACATGACGCTTATATACAGTTTAATTATAAACAGTTGCATACAAGACTTCATCTACGTTCTTGATATGAAACCTCTATAAAATATTCTGAAACAATGAGGCGTTTTAAGAAATTTAAATTCATGAAAAGAATCGACGCTGTTGCCACATCGCGTGAATGGCAATGTTATTTTTTACATATAGACACATACACTTCTGGACACATCTATTGGCCCACCTTGTATTTTCAGTTTCGTTTGGTCCTAGCTAAAATTTTATATTAGGTCGAGCAAAAAGTTTTTATGCAGTTTTGAACCTGGCACATTCACAATTTTATTCAAATAGTCTTTTTTTGAATTTCGAACACAGAATTTAAAGAAACAAAAGACAATTTGGAGTCTGTTTGTTGATATCAAACAATCGAATACTAAGAAAACTTGGTTTTATTGGTTTACTTGGATTTAATTCTTGAAAAAGTGATTGATATCTTTGGTTTTGCAACAAACATTACTTATTCTTAACATTAAGGTGAGGTTCTATCAATAATCTATGGATACTTCACCTGAAGTCGCCGCCCAAGCTGTGGCACTTATTCAGGCCGGACAAAGCCAAAGAAACGTGAGTGCTCAACTTAATTTAAGTCGATCTGCGGTCCGAAATGTTTATTGGAGGTACCTAGAGACTGGCGGCTTTGTTCGTCGCCAAGGAAGGCCACGATCTCGGGTCACAACTGAAAGGCAGGATCGATTCATCGTGACGACCAGCTTGAGAAATCGTCACCTTACCTCCATTGAGATACAAAAACAAATTCGCGACTTCCACGGAGTATCTGTGAGCGCTCGAACTGTTCGGAGAAGGTTAAAAGAACGCGATATGGTACCACACAAGCCAGCTAATGGGCCCAAACTAACGCGAGCTCACCGAACAGCACGCCTTCATTTCGCACGCAGTCATTTAAATTGGACACAGCAAGATTAGAGCCGTGTACTCTTTTCTGATGAGTCTAAAATTGTGTTACATGGCAATGATGGAAGGAAGAAGGTTTACCGACGTAAGGGAGAGCGTTTCGCACAATGCTGCTATGAAGAGAGGGTTGCTTATGGTGGTGGATCATGGACTGTCTGGGGCGGTATATCCGCGAGCGGCAAAACTCAACTTGAGGTTGTTACAGGACCACGGCTGCCAACATTAAATGCTGAAAGGTACATTCGTGAGTGCTTAGAACCTCACGTGATACCATACGCGGACTATGTGGGCCCAAATTTCCTTTTTATGCATGATAATGCAAGAGCCCATGCGGCCGGCATCGTCAGGGAATATCTTCGGGATGTGAACATCACAGTTATGGACTGGCCAGCCAGAAGCCCAGACATGAACCCCATTGAGCACATGTGGGACGAGCTAAAAAGACGTGTTAGGGCTCGTCAGCCAGTTACCCAGACGATGCAGGAGTTGAAAACTGCCATAGAAGAGGAATGGGAGATGATCCCTCAAAATTTCATAGAGCGGTTGATAAACTCTATGCCTAATCGTATGAGAGCTGTGGTAGATGCCCATGGAGGCAACACGCGTTATTAAATTAAATCTTTATTTGATAATACATGTTTTTTATTCAAAAATCAATTGCCTTTAACAAGGCGCATATCCGACTTGTTAGGCGTAGCTCCATGTCGTATGGTATTCTGAATTCAAATTTAAAACAATACGATCGAAAAAGATGGTAAAATGTATCAGGTTTAAAACTGCATCAACAGTTTTTGTTCAATCTAGCAATCATATTTCGGTAGGGGCCATCGAAACCTAAACTCTAAGGTGGGCCAATAGATGTGTCCAGAAGTGTATAACACTTTGATCCGTAAAAATTGTGACTGTCTGATGAGTAAACCATTTGTACGGTAGGGATCGAAAAGGCGAAGGAGTATTAATATTTAATTTATTACCTTCAACATTATATTATCCGTTTGCATATTTTAATTATTAGGACATTGGATGTTTAAATGTTGGCAACCTATAAAATCTCTGAAATAGATAGCTTATATCTGTTTCAGAGGTTTTTAGGCATGGATGTAGATAAAAGAATTATCGGCATCGCGCATCAAAAAATCTTCATCATTGGGTGTTATTATACCTACATCGGTATGTTTTATTTAATGTTTATTGAGCTTTAGGTTAAGGTATACTCGCGGATCTTTTTAATTCCATTTGGGGTATTAACTCTTTTCTGAGTAAACACGATGGTACCTAAAATGCTAATGTGAAAATAAATATAAAATAAATTACTTAATATCAAAATGGTTCTTAAATATTACTCAACTAAAACTATTAAAAACATATTCATCGTCATGGTTTACTGATTGAATACATGGTGGCAATGCTTTAAATATCGCTAGGAACAAAAAAGAACAGAACAAAACAAAAAATATATGTATACTAGCTGTACCCTGCCACGCTTCGCAGTGGCACATTGTGATTGAATGGTTGAGAAATGAGAAACAAAACAAAGAATACATTTCATATAAGTTTAATTTTGCAATACTTGTGGATATACAATATTTTTTGTTTTTCCACTGTCTGCGTAGATATAAAGACTCTGGTTTGCCGACTCGGGAACACGCAACATACAGTTGTCCATGTGAAAAGCAATCCTCATCTAAATCTAAACCACACAATTCTAAAGATTGACCTTGAGCTTTATTGATTGTGATTGCAAATGCCAATCGAATTGGGAATTGCAATCTTTTAAATTGAAATGGTGTATCGGTCGGGATCTTCACCTTTGAAAGGCCTCGTTAAAATCGTTGCTTCCACTACGTTATTCATTAATTTCTTAACTGCAAGTCGCGTGCTGTTGCAGAGTTTATAAGACAATTATTAAAAATAAATAATTAAAAAAAATGCTTTATGTTTTTCATTTTCTAACTGTGAACTGTTTTACATTTAATTGTTATTTTTATTTGATTTTATTATTGAAATTAATTGATGTTTACTATATTGACATTCGTATTAATTAATAATTGCTAGTTTTAATGTAATTATATTTATATGTATACATTAACTGATACCTATAAACAAAAAGTGAGGTTAATCCAAAATAAATACTATAATTACGTCCACGTGTTAGATGTAATAAAAAAGATATAACCACTCACTTCTGTTAGAAATCCACTTGAATTATAATAAGTCCTTTTATTTTGCCTGTCAGTTTATTATTAAAATATTATTATCTTTTACGTCACTATTGAATTATAGAAACAAACATTGCTATAAAATTTCTCTCATACGTCGATAGAAAAGATTCACTTCAATAATAAATATGTTTTCTTATTGATTAATTATTTAACTAATATTTTACTTATTTATTTAATTAATTAATATTAAATAAATAATAATTGCAAAAAAATAAAATTGTTACTGTCCATCTTTGATATAAAATATAACCTCTACTTACGATTTGGTGAAAGGCGCAGTTCGATCACAACACTATCACACCAAAAATTCTTGAATTAAGTGAATATTTAATTCAGATTATATAATAATCAGAATCAGATGCAATTTTTTTTTGTAAATCTTTATATATATAATTCTTCTGTGAGTGTGTATGTCACTGAACTTCTCTTAAACGACTGGACCGATTTGGATGAAATTTTTTGTGTGTGTTCAAGGGGATCTGAGAATGGTTTAGATTCACAATTTTGTCCGCTGGACAACCCCTATTTTTTTAGGGCGGTACGAAGTTCGCTGGGTCAGCTAGTAAACAATTTAATTGGGAAAAAAATTGTTTCTCATGTGACTGCGTCATTACTATTGCGGTTGTCAGCGAGTGTTTTCCTCGCTTCTGGCAGATGGCGCGGTCACTGGTACACTTTATCGTTAAAAAACTGTTTTCTCGCGGTCGCAGATACGTGACTGATGCAAAAAATAGATAAAAACAATCCTTGATGCGGATTTTATATCATGTTAAAATTTCAACTCAATCGGTGCAGAACTTTTTGAGTTTTTGAAGCGTACACAAACTAACATAACATTTTTATATATATAGATGTAACAAAATTTGTTTAAGTATGCTCCGTCGTACTTGTGGCAATTAGGTTTGGAATACGCTAGCCACAAATTTTCCTTAATAAGTAAGTAGGTAGTATATTTTCCTCTAAATAGTTTTCCGATGCTGTGAGTAACTAATCAACAAGACTAGTTGTGGTTTAACTCTTAGTACCTGTCCAGACAGAGGCAGCCTTACCGATTGCGAGGCTCCAGGCGGCAGGTCTTTGCGAGGCCCTTTGTCCTTCGTGAAAAGTATGTGATGCGAAAGTAGGTCTGGTTGTTTGGTTTAGGTATTTGTCATGTTTAAGGAAAAATGCTTAAATTATACAAATAAATCAAATTTGAATTTTAAAATATTTTACATTGAAAGATTCACAAAATTAACAAATACAGAGATGATAAATTTTAAAATAGATGTTTGCGGCTTTTCCTAAGACTAAAATCTTTAATTAAAGCACAATAATGTAACGAATAAGCTACGTCATTTTCGATTGAAAGAATAGCGAGGGCTGAAAGCCGATCTTGTGTCATTGAAAAAATAGTATTTTTTTTATATTTTTAAAATTTGCTTGGGTTGTTGCGCGAGGCCCCTGTAGGAGCGAGGCCCCGGGCGATTGCCCTGTTCGCCACCCCCTAAGACCGCCACAGATATACGCGCGAATCACACGCGTTTCGTTCTTCATTGCGCGCTCGAGTAGTACTCGAGCGCGGCAGAATAATATAAGGGGCAACCTTGCACCTTTTAAAATACTTCCACCATGCCTCAGCCCTTTATATAGTGTCCACCGTCTAGGGCAGCAACAAAAAACATTTCTTTTTGCTGCCCTGGACGTTCGCCCCTAAATAGAGGGTTTAGATAAGGTGGGAGTACTTCCCAAGGTGCACGGTTACCCCCCATAAGTTATTCTGCCACACTGTAAATGTTAAAATCCTAGTTTGGGCTGGGTATAAAGCTGCGTAAGAACTATCTATTCAGAACACAGAACAATGAACAATAAACTCACATATATTTGCCTTAATGTGCCTTTCCTAGTATAGAAATTTTCAAGAATATTGAACTGAACTGATACGTTAGCAAGCTACTTGTGCGTACGTCAAAGAGAATCCTCTATTGGCTACGTCTGGCGGTGACGTTGGCGTCGCTCCTTCATTGCCGTTCGTCACTACGTACAAGACGAAGGGCTTGGCTGCACCTGTGAAAAAGTAGAAAAAATAATGTTAACTTCATTGTAGAAGCTCGATGGCGTAATGAGGTTCATTACTAGGTCAGCAAATCAACTCAAAATCAACAGTACAATGATCTAATAAGCTTTTTAATTAATATACTTTTTAAATCATCGAAATCAGTTCATTTGTTGCGATTTTATAACTAATTTTATGGTAGCCAATATTCATCGGCGGCCGAAACATGTGATGTCACAGAGCTCGATCGTGGTTCACTTCGGTCGAACTGCAGTAGCGTCTCTACGCACGCTCGCGCCCGAGTTCTAGAGCTCTGTGACGTCACAGCCACCATGTGGCCAGCTGAAAATTCGTTTAGTAATTTGGTCATAACTTCGTCAATATTTACGTAGAACAAAAATTTAACAACTGTATTTTATGGAATCCTTAGCTTTATACATCTGCATTCTTAACTAAAATCGTTACGGATCCTCATTGGTTAGCGCGTTCGGTATGCGATTATGGAAGTTAAGTAACTTTCGCAATGGCTGATCATCGGACCAAAAAATACTATCGAGAGCGCCTCCGTCGGAAGGCACATCAAATCATTGGCCCTGGATACATTTGCAGTCGTAATCTTCTATCTATGTACCTGCATTAAGACCGCGGACCGCGTGGATGCTCATGGTCCAATTTCCCTATTCCACCAATAGGGAAGGTCTGTGCCCCAGTAGTGGGCACTGACCTTCCCTATTGGTGGCAGCCTTAATAGGCTGATGTTGATGAAACTTCATTGGAGGAAAAATATTGTCCATACCCTACTCTAAAACGTGCGCTCGTTTGCTTATTTTCCTGTGTACTCTTGAATGTTCCCACGATGGCATAGTGAAGGTAAATTTTAACCGATGTAACTTTGACCATGAAACCCGACATGTGCACAATCGTTGGTGTGGCCATTATCTCTTAGTGATGTTGAGCTTTTTAGCGTACTGGTTATAGCGTGTTCGGTCTGCGACTATGGATAAGTAACAATAACTCATAGTTTTTAATGTTAAAAGAATGGCAAACAAGCATATGGCTTACCTGATGGTAATCGGCCATCATAGCCTATAGAGTATAGACGCTTGGGATACCAAAAATATTACTCGCGCCGTTACCTACCCCGTGGAACCCTGGAACCTTGCTCACCGATAGAAACACAACGCCACCAAAAGATAGTCTTATTATACAGAGCACATCTGTAAGGCGGAGGTTACTTCCCCGAGCGCTCCAATTCGAGCGGAAAATCCGCTATGCTCTAGCTCTCTTAAATTCATAGTATTAAGAACCTTCTTTTTTCATACTTCTGTACACTTACTTCGTACTGGGACAAATCCGAGTCCACAGAAGCGGTCAGTGCCTACTGCGACCCCGGTGGCAGAGTTCGTCGGGTTAGGGATGACCACGAAGTCCGTGGTGCATGCGCCGTCGTTGGCTGCGCCCACCGCCGTCCCCAGGACCGTGTTATCGGCGCCTTCCACGTCACCAGACACCGTGAACGTAAAAAGGCCTGCAGACTACGAGAAAAACAGTACAATTAAAACTAAATGGCGGCTGTGAAGCTAGCGCAAGTTGTGGCGCAGTAAACTAAATGTAAGGTAATGTATTAAATCCGGAAAACTTCTTGAGCATCAATCATAGACATGGAAGCCTGCGCAGTAGCAATTTTACATACAAAAACGTCTACTGCTCAAGTTTATTGGTGTTTGGTTTTGCTTAAGAAGTTTGCTACTACTGAAATTGAAAACTGCATATAATGAGGGCTACCGTTTTCTGTCTCACCAGATGGCGCCACTGTTGAGTGAGGACCAGAATTGAAACTTTTAAAGTTTATTAATACGCACGTGAAATCAAAGTTTACATTTAAATCGTATTTTAATACAAAAGAACCGTATCCGAAACATAATCGGCCATGCCACAGTGATGCGCAGTTCCGTTTTGTTCGGAAAAAGGAGTACATACTATTTTTTCTTAGCTCCGCTTTTAAATAGCTGACATTCGTTGCCACGTAACTCATATTCACAACATTATTTTAATTAGAAATAAACCCGCGTAGTCAACCCACAAGCAATAACATTTGACAGTTCGGAGATCTCACGCTACACTAGCGCCTCTAGCGGCGGATTCATACGCGATAGCCCTCATTGAGCTCCCTGCCAACTTCACACTAATAACTATTCTAATAACTAATCGTCTGCTTAACAAGAAATTTTGTTAACTCCACTTTTGGCCAAAAATTATCTAACAATGGCGATTGTTTCCTTTAATGAGAATACTAGTCCAGTCAACAAGTTCAAAAACGTGAAAAATAGAGATAAAGCTCCTAAAAATATGAGCAATAGCTCATTGGATTCGGAACGACCTCTAGAAAAATGAGTTTTGAGGATTTTACTGCACGTAAAAAATTGCAATTGTTATTAACAAAATAAGATGAAAAAAAGAGGTATTTACGTTTTTGTTAATAACTCAAAAACTATTAATATTTACGATATTTGGAAAAAAGGTCCTTAAAGAGGAGGAAATTTCCGAAAAAAAAGTCCCAGCTCCCGGAACTCTACCTCTATTATTTATAATTTTAATTTAACGCTGAAAATAGGGCTCCGCGCAGCCATTACGGCATGGGCGCACTGCCGTTAAAGACAGTTTCTTACATAAAATTATTTTTTTATAGTAACAAATATGAATTTAAAAATTTAAATAAATTATGGTGTCATCCAGATACTTGAAAGAATATATTCCCGTTGGAATTTTTTTTTAAATTAATTTTTCAAAAAGTTATGCAATTGTTAATTAACGAATTTTTTTCCTATCTCCGTTTTCATAAATGACGACATAAAATTTTAAATAATAAACCTATAAATTTTTGGCTCTGTGGAGCTCTTCTTATATATATACTTAACAAGATCCCGCGATAAAAGTTTATTAAGGTTAATTATTTTGTTTATAACAATTTTTTAAAGTTAACAAAAAATGAAAAGTCTAAGAAATGTTATTAAAAATTTTTTTTAAACAAATGTTATATTATTGCTGCTTTCTTATCCAACAATGGCATTAAGTAACATCGGAAAAATTTTTTTTACATCATTTGTTAAGAAATTGTTTATAAACAAATAAGTTTAATATTTAAAGATTTTTTTACCATTATGTTGTCTTGGCATAATAATGATTTAAAAAAAATATTCTTAAATATTTTTTTTATTGTTTATAATCGTTTTTTTTATATTTCGATTGTTTAAATAATTAGTTAAGGAATGATTTTCTCTTTAAAAATCATAATTGGCATTTCTTCATAGGTAAATAACTTACTTGACAACAACAACGTTAACTTGACAATTTGTTATAAACAAATTCTAACTACCGTTATATTTTTTTTCTAGAGCTAAAAAAAATAGCAAAAACAGCCATATATATCAAAATACTAAAAAAAATATTTTTCTATTTTTTATAACGCTTTTAAATATTACACGATACCAAAGTTGCACCGGACACTTGATTTGTCAAGTAAAAAATTAATATGACTTATAAACTATTCGAGATACGATAATGGACATTCAGGTCGTTTTTATAAAGCATTAATTAAATCTTCAAATTAATCTAAAAACCAAGTTTGTAACTATTGTTTATCAGGTAATACATGCATTTGTTTATAAAAATTTGAGATTTCTTTAACTTTTTCGTATCTCTTATGACTTACAACTTAATAAATAATTAAAATACAGCTATAAACCTTAAAACAATTTTGTTTAGCGATACTTTGGTGTCGGTTCTAGCATGATTCCCTAAACCGCGTATCAACCAAGGCGACCTTGCCCGTTGCCATCCATCTAGACGAAGGATGTAATCCAAATTTTGATTTGACCTTCAACGTCCTTGGATTACGGTCGCATGATTACATCCGCAGTTGGAACGCGGGGATTACAACCAACCAAAGATAGTTGCGCTGTGGCAGTCAGCGGGTGTGCACGTATGCCTGTAAAAAATGTCGTCCGAAGACCAGAGTCGCGAACGCGATATTACTAGCGATCTAATTGATCTGTATAGAGATCTCCCATGCTTATGGGACATTACGTCGGAATCATATAAAAAAAATGCGTGGGAGATATTACTCGAAAAGTATAGGGAGTTGCACATAAATTTGAATGGCTGAGAATCATTCGCTGTTGTAACCAACGCTTCATGCACATTCTCCTTTTAGTTGTTTTTCATCGTCTATTGCACACAAAACTGTTAAGGCAAAGCCCACATTTTGAAATTTAGACTTATTGGAGCTATTTCTACATCACGGTTACTAATACAGTCCTCGCATGATACAAGTGCATACGTGTTTTCACGCCAGAAGACCAAGGTCACATTGGTTGGTACGCTTGATTCCATCCGTCTGGAATAGGTTTGACATGAAGATTACAATTTGCAGTAAATGTCTTTTCGGCGGAATAATTAATTAATCATGCGATAAACTTGAACTTACTAGATTTACTAGAAGTTTATTTGCAGTCAATAATACTTAAACCATTGGAGTTTGTTATGGGTGATCCACCATTACGATTAAACGAATACTGATTTCATCTAAGCTGAATACCAAATGCTGTGATAGTATTCATGCAATGGTGCAGTTGCGGTCCACTGCCGCATACCGATCCATATCGAGCCCTGGCGGCCTACTCTGACCGTGCGTAACCAATCAAAGCTAGAGATGTACAAACATTTATTATCCAATTTGTTTCTTAGGTTTTCACGCACATTACTCATTAAATAAAATGAATCGATGAATTATTCCGATGACGCATTCCTGTAAAGGATGCGAAACATCAATAAATAAATAAATTCAGTGCATATTGTCACTTCCATAGTAAACTTACGAATTTTAATTTCATAAAACCTAGTTGGCCAAAATATCGTATAGCTATTAATTTGGTAAGTTTACTTTGGGTGTATAAATTTAACATGTAGATTCAAACAATCAGACTTTTGGAATCGTCATTGATAAAATTGTGTGATTTTTCCAGACTTTTGGAATCGTCATTGATAAAATTGTGTGATTTTTCCCTGGTGTTAAGTACCCCATTATGTGCAGTTTTTATTATAGATTTTTTTTCTAAAAAAGCAGATTCGTAAGTTTGCCTTAGATGTGACGATATAACCCGTTAAAACTGTTTTATTTTTTATCCTATTTAAATATTACCATATCACTATTTTATTAAGTACTCAAAAAGTATATTTTGACGCGATTGACAGCGTACAATTTAAAAAAAAATGTATAGCGGAGTTGGGAGTTAGTCAGGGGCGTATTTTAAAATTTGGGACTCCGCTCCGGTCCATTTACGAGTTAGTTTTTAGCTTACCTGAGTGTAGTCAATTGCGCAGAATCCGGCTTCCATGCGTATACAGATGCCGTAGTTCATATTGACTATTTGCCTTGTACCGGTCACCAACGAAGCGCTCAGCGCCACATTTGCTGCTCCGCCGTAATTAAAACTTCTTATAGTACCCGTCGTACCTCTGTAGTACTGCAGGCATCCGTTTGGAGCTAATTAGGTAGGTTTAACATGATATTAAAACATTAATCAGTGGTGAATCGGAAAATACAATCGTGCATTACGCAGAAACGAAGATTCAGCAACCTTTGCAATCGTCATGAACTAGCAAATAGTATTTTACCCATTGCATCTGGGTATATAAATATTTGTGTTTTACTAGCTGATCCAGCGAACTTCGTACCGCCATAAAAATAGGGGCTGGTGGTAGAAGAGTGAAAATTTTGGGTATGTATGTATTTTTATTCCAAAATAAAACATAGGGGTGTACAACCCTTATCACTTAGGAGTATAAAAAATAGATAGTAGCCGATTCTCAGGCCTACTGATTTTGCAAATAAAATTTCATAAAAATCAGTCAAGCCGTTTCGGATGGCTATGGTGACTAGGGTTACCAACTTATTTTCTGTCAAATATAATATTTTCGAAGCTGTTACCATTAAAGATATAGAAGATGGCAAAAAAAATATGGTAGGTATGTAACCATATTTATTTTATTTTTAAATTAATAATTTTGGCTACTCTGCGCTTTACTAATTATTGTTTTTTATAAGAAAGCTTTTACTGATAAATATCCTTTTTACGCAAAATATAGTAGTTTCGCCTATTTTATATATATTTTTTTATATATATAGTAGTTGATCCCATAATATAGTAGGATACTATATAATATAGTAGGGCTGGCAACCCTAATGGTGACTACCATTGTAACACGAGAACCTTATATATAAGATAACATTTTGGAATAGCATTGACAATAAATATTCATTTCATTAGATGTGAATAACTTTGAACCTATTTGGAACAACAGAATAAGAGACAGGTAATAATAACTTCCATGCTAGTGATGCATTGAAAACAGCAAGTAACAAAAACATGAAAACTTATAATCAATTAATTCACGGACATGACCCGGAAGGAAAAACCATAGCGATATTCAGTAGCCATAGCCACAGCAAGCAAGTTATGAGAGGGGGAATGTGCACACAAGTGCTTTTTGCATACACACAAAAAACACTCTTAACCAAAAAATTGTGTGTGTCAGCTCCGACGCACGACTGGAGTTTACTCCTTAAGTTCGATAGTCTAACCAGACGCAAAAAAAGTTTATTTAACTTAAAAAAGATTGATACTGTATGAAAGGGTAAATTAACAAATTAATGAAAAAAATATACATATATAAATATATATTTATTCATTTCATATACATTTATTGTAACTAATCGACGAAATATTTTACATTAAACTTTTTACAATAGTCAATTTCAGATGTGCATAAATATATCATTAGGAATGTTGATAAATTATGTAATTATTATTATCAGACTATTATCATTTTTTTTAAATATTAATTAAATCAATATTGTCTGCATTATTAATTATAGTGACAAGTGGTTTATGGTAACTAAAATAAGACACATGGACGTTCGTAGATACGTGGTTCACGAATCTTGAAAATACCGCATCAATGGTTGTACCATTACCATTATTATAAATTCAGTTCAGATTTTAAAAATTTTCTTAAGGAGTAAACTCCAATAACATAAAAATATCAGCATTGAATAGGTTCCTCAAAATCTTGCAAACCATCGACTAATTCTATCCAAGTCGTGTCTGTATTGCTCTATGCATTGATAACAACATAGCTATGATTAAATGCCCCTTATTTACCTATGCCAGGGCAGTCGCAGCCCAACTGCACAAGCTTAATGTTCCATCTCCTCCCGAAGGCGGTGGCTAGAGTGGCCGCTATACTGATCGTGATAGCGGTGTTTCCATTAAAGTCCACGTATATAGTCTGGCCAGTGTTGTCTCCGCAGATCACGGGAACAACCGTGTTGCCCCCGGTTATTGTAATGGAGTCTGTTACGCAATTACCGTCGCCGTTTGGTTGTGCCAATACCAGGTCTAAGAAGTCTATTCGGAGCTGGAAAGCAAATATAAAATAAAAATAAATAAAACACACCAATTAGCCTACCCCTAATGTAAGCACTGTAAGGTCTGTAAGGCTTGTGTTACTATTTTGAATTTGGAACACATATATTATTTTAAAAAATTCTTTAGATTTTGCGCCATTTCACATATTTTTTCGTGTTCATTATCAAACTATAATATGGAAAGGGGTGTTAAAGAAAATAGGATTACAGTGATTGCCTTGCACAAAGTGGGTATGGAACCGTCGGAGACATTTTAAAGGCTTCGTATCAGCCGTATGTACGTATATCGTACTATCGACAGATACAACAACACTTCGTCTGTCGAAGACTAGAAAAGATCGGGGTGCCCGCGTGCTGTTAGAACTATCTACAAAGGCTGTTAAAGCCATAATTCGTCGAAACCCCATTATGATTCTGCACCTGGTCACAAGGCACGAACTACCTAAGCTTGGCTTGAAACCAATGTTCCAAACTTTATAAGAGCTGAAAACTGGCCCTCATCTAGCCCAGACCTCATCCCTCAACTCAACCCTTTAGACTTCGAATTATGGTAAGTTTTAGGGGAAATGGCCTGCTCTAAACGACACGGCAACGTTGAGTCTCTTAAAAAATCTTTGGAACATCCAGTGGCAAAATTTCCCTTGGAAACAGAGCGTAAATCCGTAGATTCGTGGCCAAACATATTAAAGGCCTGTATAAATGCCAAAGGTGGCCATTTCGAATTGAATATTTTTTTATTTTTTGCTGAGACTTTAATAAATATGTAGGTATAAATTTTTATCATATTACATTACTTCATTAAAAAAATGCATTTTCATTTGTAACTGAACTTTTGGCTGGACTAGGTATATATAAATATATATATGTTCGTATTCAGCAAGGCAGTGTGCTCGGTCCCTTACTTTTTGTGGAAGAATTAATCAAGGGAATTCTGCAATAATTTGCATAAATCAGCATTTGCTTTATTTCAATTAACAAAAATAGTAAACAGGCATGCAGTTCTATCTGCTTATCATGGATTAGTTGGATCTGTGCTAAGATACGGAGTAATCTTTTGGGGAAATTGCACTGATCGTGTAGACATTTTTAGAGCTCAGAAAAGATGCATTAGAGCAATGTGTGGGCTTAATATCAGGGATAGCTGTACGCCTTACTTTAAATCACTCAAAATATTGACAGTACTATAGAGTTCTACCCAGAAGGGATAGAACCTGGGAGCGTAGACGTTAATTGAAAGAAGATGATAGAGATAAATTATTTATTTTGTTTTATCATTCAGGCTAATATAAAAGTATTTTATCTAAATACGAGAGGAAATTCTTGGTGCCTGAAGATCTAATTTATGAATGGAACCTTCTATCAAAAGACAGACGATTCCTCATTTCAAATCTTAAAATCATGACATTAACTTTTTAATATAACTGCCAACCGTAGGCATTGCAAAAGCAAAGAGTTTACCTAAACAAGGAGGCTGCAACGTTAAGGACGTTACATCCCTCCGGCACCTCTAAAAAAAAATTGTTTTGTCATACCAGATGACCGAACAAAATTTTTTTTTTTCCTACCTACTACATCGAGAGGGTTCGACGGTCCTATCTAAAATCCCTACCTGCTTAAGGACATAAATACAACTGGGAGGTGGCCTTTACTACAGACTAGCCCTCACAATAAGTTTGCAAAACTTGCAAAAAAAAAAAAAACTTTACGGGAAAAGAACCCTAACTGTTTGCAAAGTTTTATTGCAAAGATTTTACGGGAGCAAAACCTTAACAAAATCCCTCGCACATCTCCCTCCTAACCTTAACTTTACTTTACTTTACATCGACATCAGTCGGCAAAAACAAAAAAACAAAGCTAACCCTAGCTATAACTTAAATTACCCAAGCAATTTTTATTTTATCCCATCTATCAGCAAAACTTTACCCTATCCCATTTATTAAACCATTAAATATCAAGAAAATTTATATTTTGAAACTTCATTACTTCCCATACTAAGTAGATGTACGAAACGAAATTCAAACTATTTCCTAAGATTCGTAAACATTAACTGGATTTGAGCAAAACCTAAAAGAATTTATAATTAATGTTTACTTTCGTACATCTTTAATAAAGATACAGACGTGATCCACCACTTTATTGTCTTGTACTTTATTAGACACCCATGATGCGCAAACGTAATAGAAATTTTGGGTAAGGACATCTAGCATCAAACAAGATTAAACCCAATTCCCATGGAATACTAAGGGTTCCCTACCCCCAAGTCAAACTACTACAAGTGACGATTTTGACGAACGCGACGCGACCAAATTGAAACGAAAACGACGCGAATTCGTAGAGGGTGTCTCCATCATCTTCAGGGTGGATCATCGTCAGTATCGCTGACGTCTGCAAGAGCGCCAGCCTGCTCTCTCTCGGGAAGTCCGCATCATGTGGTAGTACATAAAACAATCAAGAAAATATTAGTAAAATCCTTTACACCATTTTTCTTCAGTCGGGTAAGTTAATATTCAAGAAAACATTAAGTTTATGATAAGTCTTTATACCATCTTTTCATAGTTGGATAAATTTTCAAAATTTAACATTATTATTCATTTATTTATTTTTTTAACCTTACAGGGAATCGAACCCGTTTCCTTTTTTATAATAAGGGAAATTTCTTTATGGACCTATATTATCCTATTATACATGATTAACTATATATATTCTATCCTAATGCTGAATTAATCCTATCAATGATCATATTCAAAGTCAATTGAATAATTCCAAGTTGAACAGAGAATCAAACCTGTTACCTATCATTCTTATGGTTATTACCATATCAATAATCCACCTACTCAACAAATTACACTAAAGCTAACAATTAAAAGAAATGAAAATACTTTAATGAGACTACCTACTACCTACTACTTGTATTGAACCTTATTTACATACCACTATTGCTTTAAAATACTCATATAAACAATAAACTGAAATAAAATCTCATTAGTAACACAATATTATAATACTATCAACCTATTCGGCATAATATAAATTTTCATCATATACCGAATTATCACTATTCCTTTCATTATTCTTTTGTGTATATTGTCTTTTAAACTTGCACTTAATATGTTTGATTATTAATTGTTCATTATAAAAGTCTACTATCGCATTATTTCGAAGTAAGAAATCCTGTCCTAAGATGAGGTTATGCCTAATATTCTCTACCACAAGAAAATCGTGAATAAATAACACATTGTCTATCAATAATTTAAGGTTAACTTTCCCTATAACAGACAATTCTTTACCATCGACAGCTTTCAACTTCGTATCGCTTTCATCAATTCGTTGATGAATTCTATTAACTGTGTCCTTCGACACCACAGACACTGCAGCACCACTATCAATGAGCCCTACAAACTTCTTATCACGACACGTTATATTAATTAATGGTTTGGACTCACTTGTATATTGATTGCAGTTTTGTAACGGCTGTGAATGTTGAATTTCTTCATCAGCCATCGCCATTAAATTTTCTTCATAAAAAAATTTCTTTGGATGCTTCTTTAGTTTTTTCTTTTTGTTCATATTGCTGGAACAAAAAGTGCGGGGAATCATGTGTTCGGGAGGGACAATGGGATGAGAAAGGACACTTTGGGAGGAAATGAAGTTGATTTCCTTCTCTTGTTCTTCTTCATGCCTTATTATATGCGAAATTTTCGCCGCTTCGAAGTTTGTCATTGGTGTAACAAACGATGGTTGGATCGGCAGATTCCAACAAATTTCGGCACTTTCGTCTCCGAAAATATCCTGTGCTTGACGAAAAATATTTTTTAAATGTGTTTTATCACTATATAACTGAAATGCGAAAAGATTTTTTGTATTTAAATTCGCATTTTTCAAGAACTGTCTAATGAAGCATTTGTCATCGATGACAGCTCCCGCTTTTGTGGCCAGCTCATCCAATATATAAAAAAAGGTCAATGGCTCTTCTGACAAGCCTTGTCTTCGTGAGAAAAATTTTTCCAACGCATTTATCGATGCTGGAAATTCTTCACATATATTCTTTTCTAAAATCTGAAAATTCTCACAAGACTCATTAATTTTTTTATAAAATAACAATGCAGGTCCACTTAAATATGCCGACAACACAATTCTTTTTGTATCATCGTTGAAATTATTGATGGCGGCGATGATATTAAATTGACGAAAGAAATCGGTTACATCACCTTTTCCGTTGAATGTGGTCCTGGTCTCCATCTTCATAAAACTACTTCTTTCTTGATTTAAAATTATTTTTCACTCGCGGTACTTGAAAATTAACCGGCGCGTCCACCATATAGAGTTCTACCCAGAAGGGATAGAACCTGGGAGCGTAGATGTTAATTGAAAGAAGATGATAGAGATAAATTATTTATTTTGTTTTATCATTCAGGCTAATATAAAAGTATTTTATCTAAATACGAGAGGAAATTCTTGGTGCCTTAAGATCTAATTTATGAATGGAACCTTCTATCAAAAGACAGACGATTCCTCATTTCAAATCTTAAAATCATGACATTAACTTTTTAATATAACTGCCAACCGTAGGCATTGCAAAAGCAAAGAGTTTACCTAAACAAGGAGGCTGCAACGTTAAGGACGTTACAGTACCTTGTATTTACATCTTGGAGATAGCAGCATTCGTGAAAGCAAACAAAAACTTATTTCTAAAGCTAGACTTTCAAAGAAACCCCCCGCGGGGTCAATACGTTAATAAGCTAAGAATACCACAATGTAAAACAGCCCTCTTCCAAAAAAGCGTACTGTATCTGGCGCCTCGTATTTACAATAAGATTCCTGATTCTTTGAAACAATTAAATTTGACTATTTTTAAAAGAAGACTGCGTAAACTTTTGATTGACAAATGTTATTATTCCATAAATGAATTTTTAAATGACAATACAATGAAATGCAGCGGACGGGACTCGAACCCGCACCCTTCGCAATCCGGGCGAATGCACTGACCATTATGCTACCACGGCCCTATTGGTCGCGTCGAAATTTTCCTAGCCTTAAGCTGCAAGGCAGCGCCATCTCTTCGCATTGTAGGTAACCCACAATGTCAAACGAATACTTTTTCAAGTATTAAACATTTGAAAGAAGAAATAGCAATTATAGTTATGTTTTTATTTATTTTTTAAGCATTTAACTGCAAGATGTTTAAATCTAAAGGAAAATTTTCTAGAAAAAAATCCACGCGGACCAGGCAGCGGATGGGACTCGAACCCGCACCCTTCGCAATCCGGGCGAATGCACTGACCATTATGCTACCACGGCCCTATTGGTCGCGTCGAAAATTTCCTAGCCTTAAGCTGCAAGGCAGCGCCACCTTCGCATTGTAGGTAACCCACAATGACAAACGAATACTTTTTCAAGTATTAAACATTTGAAAGAAGAAATAGCAAAATGGATTTTTTTTTCTAGTATACTTTCCTTAAGATTTAAACATCTAGCAGTTAAATGCTTAAAAAATAAATAAAAACATAACTATAATTACTATTTCTTCTTTCAAATGTTTAATACTTGAAAAAGTATTCGTTTGACATTGTGGGTTACCTACAATGCGAAGAGATGGCGCTGCCTTGCAGCTTAAGGCTAGGAAAATTTCGACGCGACCAATAGGGCCGTGGTAGCATAATGGTCAGTGCATTCGCCCGGATTGCGAAGGGTGCGGGTTCGAGTCCCGTCCGCTGCCTGGTCCGTGTGGATTTTTTTCTAGTAAACTTTCCTTTAGATTTAAACATCTAGCAGTTAAATGCTTAAAAAATAAATAAAAACATAATTTATTAAATGTGTGATTTTATCACAATTTTGATCTATTCTAAGTACAATTATTGATATGTGATTATTACTATTTTTTAAGTGTCGTAAAAAATGCTATTTAATTTGACAATTTACTAAATGTTTGCTTTTATCACAATTTTAATCTTTTTAAGTACAATTACTGATATGTGACAATTTTGGATTTTGTAGATTACAGTACCTACCTAATTTGTTTCACACCCATATAGGGTAAAATATGAATGGACATTATAATTATGTAACACCAAATTATGTACTCATATTTGAACAAATAAATTGATTGATCATACTAACAATTGCTCCACAGGGATTCCAAGTCGGTACCTCTGAGTATATGCGACACCTTGAAACCCGACGTACATACCACTAATCGACCACGGAGTTCGGAGCAAGAATCGGTTCGAAACACATAGTTAGATGTTTCAACGTTTTTCTCAACATCCGTAGTGGAGTGTTATGTAAGTTTTTAGGTTTAAGGTTTTGCCTACTTTGAGGTCTGGGGTTCGAATCCGGTAGCACAAATGTTTGTGTGTCCGGTCGTCAGTGGGGCACACTATGGAGGTTTGGTAAAGACATCCCGGTGCCAAGGAAAACCGTTTCGTTCAGAGTCTAGCGTCTTTCTACCGTCGTCGACGTGCCAGCGTTCGCTCAACGTCTGTGCATTGTACTTGTCCGCAAAAAAACTAAGATCGAACTTAAAAGAAAGAAGTGACGCCACGACGATGCAACGACAGTACTGCGTAAGCCCGGGGTTTGGCAGCCGGCCAGGGTGTCGATTCTGCTACGCTAAAGTTAAAATCGTGTCTCAATAGTGGTTCAGTGGTATCGATTTCTGACACAGTTTTTGGTACTGAAAAATAAAAAATACATAAATATAACTTTATTAATGGAGTCACTAGTTAGAATTTTAAATTTGTGTTTAAGTGACACTAACTGTGTCAATAATATAACTACTAAAACACCATTCATGCAGAATCGACACCCAGCGCCAGCGTCGCGTCGACGTTGCGTGGACGCTAACACGACGACGACGCTCGAAGGTGGGGGATCTCTAACAAGCGCACTAATTACTTATATTGGGACTAAGTTAATTGGTGTGGCTATAAGTATCATTTATTTATTGAGTAAATTTACCTGGCAAACGTTGTTGTTGCATCGGTTAACGATGATCGAGCACGTCGCCCCGCCACCGAACGCCGCAGGGTAACCAGGGCTACTGAAGTAAGTGTTATTCACGTTTGTGGTAGAGCCACATGATCTCGAAACTGAAAGGGGGATAGAGTTGAAATGACCTTGTTGAACTGGATAACAACTGTGTTATCCAGTACACTACTGAGTGTATTGAAAAAACATCGTTTCACCACAGTCAGCCAATCTAGACGTCACACTGATGTGACCAATCAAGCATCTTTGGCAATATCGATTTCAAACAAAAATAGTAATTTGGATTCTATAGGGGGTGTTATGTGGATAGAATAGATAGATAGATACGGGTTCATTTTCAACACAATATTTAGCAGAGGAGCTCAATGCGCCCTCACCTTCGCCATCGAGCTCCTCTGCTACATATTGTTATACCAGCTGACCAGCATGTCCAGTCTGAGATCGTGGAAGTTAAGCAACTTTCGCCATGGTCGGTCATTGGATAGGTGACCAGCAACTTGACTTGAGTTCTACCTACCGTGATTCGGCAGACACGATAAGCCGTTGGTTCAAGCTGCATCCGTTAGCACCAATCATCCGCATTGGGTCATGACACCTTGAATAAACAGGGGAGATCTGTGCCCCAGCAGTGGGGACATTAATAGTATGATGATGATGTAGCACTCACTCACGCAGCACCGTCCCCTCCTGGAAGCGCAGATGCCGGTGATGGTCCCTTGGAGGTCGTTACACTCTCTCCGGGCGAGGCATGTACCGTTCATTGTGTTCGTACTCGCGCATTCAGTGTTCGCGAAACGAACGATGCTCACGAACGGAAACACTGCAGTTAAAGAAAATTTAAATGACCTCGTAATTATTTCAAGTTTTATTAAGTTAATATTAATATGGTAGATGGTGTGGCAGGTAAAACTGCTGCACTCGCTATCATCGCATCAGGGCTCCACCGTCACTTCACAAAGTTAAAATAATCACCGAATAATAGCATAATAAGTTAATGCTTAATACGCTATTATACACAATGGCCAAATTGTTAAAAAAAACTTACTTAAAACAAGAACTTTTGAAACAGTTATTAAAACAATCAAAATACAAACCAGCGTTGCCAGACGTTCCGATTTTGGCGGGACGACGTCCCGATTTTTAAATCAGAATTAAATGTCCCGCGCGGGACAGGCTCAATCCCGACCAGCAGCGTACTGAGAAGGGCGGGTGGGTGGCACTGACAAGTGTGGCCTGGCCACCTGGGGGTCAATTGCCTATTATATCGGGATTGCTATGGCTGTCGCTATCGCTTACGATTTGATTTTGTTATTTCTGACCCCCGAAGGTTTTCAAATACCTTATGCTCATTTTTCTCATATTGTTATTACCAATGCAAAAGAAAAAAAAATATGTGGTGTCGTGGGACACCAGGTAGGAACGAAGTTCCTTCGGCTAATGTAGAATCGACACAAATTGCAAAAAAAATCGTGCTCAATTTTATGTAGGTTTTCTTGTTTTTTCTCTTAAATTTTGCTGATTAGTTTTTATTTAAGTACAAGAAAGTAAGTTTTTTTTTTCTAGTAAACTTTTCTTTAGATACAAGAAAGTATTTAGGAAATTCAGTATTTCAGGAAATAATAAATTACTTAAAATAAAAAACATCGTAATTCAAATTATCAACTAAAATAACAAAATATGTCTCTTTATTTTTGTTTGACAACATAAAATTACATAGAAATAGAAATAATTACAAAAAAAGTTTATTATTATTATTAATATTATTATTATAAGTAATTCTTATTAATCAGTCTCGTCATCGAATTCTATTGCTGAAACTATTGCGACTGTCGCGCCTGCGCATGTCTCATTTAACGGTTTTATTCCACGCACTTTTTTCCACGGATTTTTTCTTACGGTTTTACTATCACATTTTTTTCAGTTCGGTCGCGCAGCAAAATCCCTATCCCCTCCAAGCCTGCCGTAAGGAACTTCGTTCCAAAACGAGCGCGAGGCATTACAAAACCTTCAGCCAAATATAGGAAAATTAAATCGTAAGCGATAGCTACAGCCATAGCAAACTCGTTAGGCGATTGGCACCTCAAACAAAGACTCGACTATTTAACGATAGGGTAAATCTGATTTAAAATATCATATTTTTATTAAAATACATTCTCTTTTGTCACGTAAACCTAATTTGAACTGTAATAAAAAGATAAATATTGTTTTTTTTTTATTATATACGGTTTTTTTGCTATGTCCCGCTATCGACGAAAGAATCCCGCTTTTTTCACTCAAAATGTTCCTATATCCCGACTTGGCAAAAAAAAAACCGGCAACGCTGATACAAACCTAAATAAAAAACTACACATCTCCACAAGAATATGGGTATTAACGACACTTTAAAGTCTTCGGTTAACATGGTTCCTAATTCATCATTATTCGAACGTTGGACCTTTTAGCTGTGCAAATTGGCGCAAATATTCCCAAATTTCTTTTAAATAAGAAGAAGATACTACCTACTGATTTATTTATACTTACCGAGATGGATGAGGATGAGATAAAACGAACCAATTATGAACTGCAGTATGCCAAGAGAGTTTATCTTCTCAAGCTTGAAAATAAGAAATAGCTCCAATATTTACTTATATTTTTAAGCGTTGAATAAATGAAGCTATATTACCTTATTGTTAAAAAATGGCCACTATCATTTCAATATTATGTATAAGTGTGATTGCATAGATAGTAAAGTATGGGTCGCAGTAGTGCCCAACTTAAATCAGTTGTGTTTTCCATTAAGATGGGATGAGTGCTTAGGAAGGACGTTATGATAACGTGTAGAACTACACGAGAATTTCCTTCAATGGTTCCTACGTAAAGTCCCAGATGTGGCACTTAGGTGATTTTTAATTTTATTATATTATCTGCTCAGCTCTTTCGTTTAGTGAAACAAAAACGATGTTCTTTATCTGATCACTAGTGACCTGTCCTCGCTTCGCTTCGGTGATAGACATACGATCCTAGAATTACTACTAAGAATACCTATAAATCACCCTCTTGAATTATTCTATCTATTGCTAAACTGCATTAAAATTCGTTGCGTAGTTTAAAAGATCTAAGCATACAGACAGCGAGTGGGAGTTTTGTACTTGAACTTTGTTTTATACATAAATCATATCAATTTGATATTTGTGAACTAGACAGATGCAGAATACAATCAGACAAGCAATCGAGCACGATACTCCACAGGAGCGCGAATGTGTGGTTTCAACAAGGCGGCGCGACCACACATCACAACAATTTCATTTTGGCGATTTGGCATGCCAACAAGATCGCGCGATTTAATCGGCTCAGACTTCTTTCTTTGGGCTACTTGAACTCTCGAGTTTATGCCAAAAAGCCTCAGTCAATCGCAGCCCTTAAAGAGTCATACTATAGAAAAGCGAACAGTTATCAGTGAAAATCTTGAGAAAATTCAAGGAATCATCAGCCAATTAAAGGAATCATCTTTTCCACTTAACTAAAAAAAAAATTGGGACTCTAATAAATATTTCCATCTTCATTTAAGTAATATTATTTTTATAGCATAAACGTTGTACTAAAACAAAATTGGATAATTACTTTGGCGCTGCCTAGTACTGCGTAAAGAAAACGTGAATAAGAATCTTTTAAGCACATTTTGCTTTGCTGGGGTAACTTAAACGACAAAAGTAAATTTCACAGTACAGCTACAATAATGAAAAAAAATACATTAGAAAAAGTAAAAAAAATGGCTCGACTTCAACATTTTCTTTTGGCGTTCGCGCCTTTTGAGCCCCAAACTAGAACTACTAACATACAATTTGTAATATACTGTATTCACAATAAATTTATACGCTTCTCTCTTATTAGTCTTTATATATACACAATATGAGACCTGAGACTGAAGAGATGCCGCGCTTTGATGAAGCGGTACGTGGGAAAAAATATCGGGAAGTTCTTTTTTCGGATGAAAAAATTTTTACCGTAGAAGAGAGCTACAACAAACAAAATGATAAGGTGTACGCACCAAGGCTTGTAAACGGTTTCGAAAATACCGGTAAATAAAGATTAATTCCGGTTTTTAGTAAAGGTTTCGTTCGGAGCGCGTCCGAAATGAAAGCGGTACCTAAAACCTTAATAAACCGGTTTAATCCAGAGCGACACGTGCTGGTATCGCTTGAAGTTTGTTTTGATTGAATTAATCAAGTCACAACTTGTTAATGCTCAAAGATTGATGCATTTATTGACACATTTCCTAGCGTCCAGTGAGTGAAGTTATTCATTTTGTAGTTGTGTACTGACACACTATACTTCACTCACTCGCTCTGTAGTTGGAAGGAAACTGACATAAAATCATTATAAATTTGAATTGAAACGGCGAAGGCGATGCCGTCAGTAATAGCGAAATGAAACCCCTTAAAAACCGCTAAATTGATTCAAAACCTATTTGATTTTTTTAAGGTTAAGGTAGAGCCAAACCTAAATAAAACGCTCCTAATGTACTTGACACTGATTTAGGTTTGAAAATTTACCGGTAAACAAGGCCTGGTACGCACACAGTAGTGAAGAAGCGAGCAACCGTATTCCGCGTGTCCATTGAGGTCATTTTCCATCCTCGCTCATGGTATGGTTGGGAGTTTCTTATTGGGGCTTAACAGAGGTACATTTTTTGAGAAAGGTGTAAAAACGAATGCAGTTTTGTATCAAAATACAGTCCTGACGAACCTTGTGGAACCTGTTTCTCATACCATGTTCAATAACAGGCACTGCGTATTCCAATAAGATTCGGAGCCAGCTCAGAGCGAAGAGCACACAAGACTGGCTGGCGGCGCATGAAATCGACTTCATCCGGCACAAAGACTGGCCCTCCTCCAGTCCAGATTTGAGTCCGTTAGATTACAAGATAGGGTAACACTAGAGGAAAAAGCGTGCTCAAAGCCTCATCCCAATTTGGAGTCACTCAAGACATCCTTGATTAAGGCAGCCGCCGATATTGACATGGACCTCGTTCGTGTTGCGATAGACGACTGGCCGCGCAGATTGAAGGCCTGTATTCAAAATCACGGAGGTCATTTTGAATAAACTTAATTGTCATAAGAATCTATGTTTTGTTAAGCTCATTTTGGTATATAAATGGTTGCATAATGAATAAACTTGTTTCAATTATTTTATATTAAACATATGACAGAATATGACCTGACTAGGTATTATAACACGGAAAGTTTTCAAGCGAAATAGGTATCGAACCCGAAAATAAAAACAAGTCTACATCGCAGCTAAACGAGATTATCCCCTACTAACTTCTAAAAATTACTTTGTAGTTTATATTGGTACTCTTATGATACTCACATATTTTGCCTGTCCTTTCTTGTACTGCAGTACCATTGTAACTTTCCACGCTTTTATCGTAATTATCGTCTAAATCGCTGTGAATTGTTAATCCATTAACTGTCACTAGAACCACGGTTAAATAAATCCATCCCGATTTGGAAAACATTTTGAATTTTCTATCAAATGAAAAAAAATTTAGAAAGAAATGGATTTTATCACATTAGAAAAAGAAACATCAAGTTACTTCATTACTGTTGAGTTGTTTGTCGCAATAATAGTATTACTGAAATGCTACTTCAGTATCACACATCATCCTTTTATAAAGTGGGTTATAACGGTAGTGTGTTTGAAAATAGTATTAGGGATGCGACCGTTCTTCGTTTCACACCTCGTGAGGAGGTGCTAATTCATTTCCGTACTCGGATCAAGTAGAAAAGGTTATGCTCAACGCATTCCTTATTTACTTTTCTACAGCATTTCATAGATAGTACAATTAGAACCTTTGTTTTTGTTGATCGTACACCGTAGTCACTAGATTAATTTTCAAACTTGCGTGGTGCAAGGGTGCTAAGGGCGTTTACTGTTGTTGTATAATCGTGGTTTAGACTCTAACGTCATACCATTTTCATCTTTACCCGTTATCTTCAATCAAGTATGCTCTGGATATCGTACACTAAGGTGAACATTAAGTGGGGTGAGAAAATAATGAAAACACAGATAGAGAAAAATCGAGCAAAAAGTTGATTTATTGGTGCGTTCGTAGGACTATTGATCTTCCCTACTACGTGTTACGGGATTTTACGTTGGCCTTCAGATCCAAGTATTTAATTCATTGGCGTATATAGAACTGTGTGTAAGGGTTTGTAGGTCTGGTCACTGAGATACGATGTCCGACAGAACTTAAAATTTCGAATTACATAATCTGAGATCCTATCCTAAGAAACAGATCAAATCGGGGTGGATACGGTCCACCTGAACTCCATTAGAAACCAATGTAGTGGGTACTGCATTGCATGTAATTAATAAATATGAAATGGTAAGGTAGTTGAACTTTTTTCTCTGCGTCATCGAAAAGAGGTAACCCTGCACCTCTAAAGGGCTGGAAAGGGATTTCTTTAGCATACGTTCCTACATATCCAATGGTAAAAATCATCAACATAAGCAAGGGCGTCGCCAGCTTATGACTATTATACTTATACTTATTGACATGGGGCAATATAATAGGTAAGGAAGTCAATTGCTCACACTTTAGTCGCTTTGCGGCTAGCTACATTTGATATCGAGGGGGGAGGGGCTGCCCCCCTCTGCCCCCCTTGGCGACGCCCTTGGACATAAGGAATATAAAGAGGGAAGGCAAGCGTGCAATCAATATCTTTTTTAATTTGTTTATACATTTTCGAATAAGGTATACGAGTTCTGCAGATGGTCATCTACAAAAAGGTCATACATTTTGTCTGCATGTATTTACTTTACAGCTGGAGAACATATTTCAATCTCTATGTCTACCGTAAACACAAATATCTGATTCCTGCAAACCGGTAAATAGCTAGGGAAGGTTGTTTTTCCTTTAGTCTCCCTGGCGTACCGGGACCGAGGCGGTTATGTAGGTATCATTCAGTATCAATAAAGATGTGGTCCCAGTAGGTGCAACATTATGCTCAAAATTAGGCAAATAAATAAACCTTAGTAAATGTGACTATATTTAATTTGTTCTGAAATGTGAAAGTAGTAAACACAGTTATTTTATGTGGCAATAGGTACATTATTTAAGTAATTATTATGATGGTGTGCGCATTGAAAATAAAATATGTATATGAAAACAAGTTTGTATTCATTTTATGCATTGCATTTATTGTGTTTATTATTATTTTTTCTCGTTATCGGGTAGCCTTTCTTTGATTCCATCATAGAAGTCATAAGTAGTTACATTATGTCACTGACTTCCATTATCAACACGACACGAGAATTCCATCTCAAAAAAACCCCTTCCCATAATATCTTATTTTTGAATATATAAAAAGTAGTACAATCTTGTCTTCTCTATATGGATATATTGTTGGTCCATGGTAAAACGCTGCTCGTATGGCACAGTAAAGTTTATTACAGTAAAATAATATAAGAAACGCAACCTTTTCTTTAGGTACAACATAATAATTTATTACAAAATAATTGTCATCATAACTTTTTAAGTACTTAGTAGTAATGTACATTTAATAAGCACGTTTCATGATGCTCCATGCTTTTGAGTATCTAGGTATAATAACATTAAGATTTATAGTGTTTTTTCAGATTATAGATGAAAATTATGATCTTTGGATTACATTTATCAATTTACATTTCATTATCGGAATGCGTAAGTGGGTCGTTCTCGCGTTTCGTGCAATTTGAGGTGTTGTTTCATAATTTATTTTTTGAGAAAAAAAGACTTGTGCTAGTAATTACTTTTAGAACCTTATAAAGATCATGACTACATTGAAGGCACTTTAACACATACAACTGTTTTCGAGAATATACACTGTTGGTAATGTAACTCAGGATAGTAATGTATTCCGTGGGGAGGGTACTGAAGAAGCCAAGGAAGAGAATGATAATAAGGATGAACGTTTCGCATCCTGAAGGGTATAAATACTTTTTAGGATGTGAAACGTTAATAAATAAATAAATCAGTGCATCTATACCTTTGAAACTTGTTTTATCTAATGAGTGGTGTGCGTGAAAACCTAAGAAACAAATAATACAAAATACATCTCTTATCTATTAGACAGGTCCGTCCGTCCGTCCGTCCGTCCGTGGTGCTGTTTCAGCGGCCAAACCGTAAGAGATAGATATAGAGAATGTTTAAGTTATAAGTTAAGAATAGTCTGATAAGACTACAAACCGGATGTGAGTAACGTAGCACTTCCGGTTTTCGAGAAATCACGTGATTTCTATTTCAAACGAAACCACACAAAATCTCCGAAGTTCTAAATTAATTAAATACTTTTTTTTTTGGTGAACATTTGGTTCACAGGTTAGCTAGTTTTTTTATATAATAACAGTCATTTGTTTCAACATAATTTTTAAACCGACACATAGAAGGTGTACCAGTTGAATGTTGAATCAAAATAGAATTCACACAAAAGAAATATTATAATATTTATTAAATTGACAACTAATCTAGCATAAGAATCTGCAATTTAGGAATAATTATAAGGAATTAATGACAATCAGTCTATTAATTAATATTTAACAAAATAATTAGCAACCTTAATAAAAATATTCATTTTAAACTATTATATATATAAATAAATATATTATGTGGTATAAACCACAACAATACCTCTATAAAAACTACTAACTTGATCGAAAATAATATAAGGAATTAATCACAATTAGTCTCTTACAGTTATTAAAGTTGTTTACCTATAAGAGAGTGACAAGATTCAACCATAAGGCAACTTGATATAGACGTCGCTTTACAGGCTTGATGCCTGTCGGATCCGGACGCTCCTCAGGAAGGCAGATATTGTGCTGATTATTCCGCGCAATTAGGTGTATTGGTGGACCGCAGAATTGCCCGTGTTGCGAACCGCGTACTTAAGCAGAAAGTGGGTCTACCAGTGCTATCAACGCAGCAGTACCATATACCCCGGGAAAAGAGACGGATCTCCAGAGCCTACAAATGGACAAAAATGGAGCTGAAAGTAGTAATTTGCCGCGTCGAATCTGCCTGGGATTAGTTCTTGGCGGACCCACACGAGAAGGAAGAGATCCAGGCCAGGCTATTGCTATCAGCGTGCGGCGCTGCTGAGACCACGTACGGACAAGGGTGTGTCGTGCCGCTTCTACAGCAGCTCCGTACTTGTGGCATGACCGGGATGCCTCCTTTGTAGTGCAGATACTGTCGGAATCAACAATGCCTGGACAATATTTACACTAAATGAAACGTCAGCGGCCCCTCTGTGTTCTGCAGTCTTCTAAGACTAGACGCAGCGCTGCCACGATAAAAGCTAACTACACCTACACACACACCTCCTCATCGTCACCTCTTCTCCTTGGCGGAAAATCCACTTGCTGGACCTCGGCAGATGCTATTGAGTCAATCCCTTGGGCAACTGAGTGGATAGGCGATAGAAGGGGGAGGTGTCCCACAGAACCCCGTTAGCACCTCCCATTAGTGAGGTAAGAGTAAGGCAATTTCCCAACAACAAAAAAAAGATTATTGATATCAGTCTAAATACATTCTTTTTTATTTTCTACAAATGTACTCATGGTATTTCTAGTAATTTGATACAAGGCAGATCTGAACTTACTTTTTAATACACAAGAACAAAACACGCACGTGTGGCACGCACAGTAATTTTGTATGTATGTATTTACTACGTTCTAATTTTTTTCACTAAGTTCCATTTCATAATCATTACCTACCTAAGCATCTAGCATTATCATCCGACTTAAATATGGAAGGAAAAGAAGGTGATGAACAGAAGATGTATGAATTACTAGTAGTTTCATTGAAATAATTAATTGATTTGACTTTAATTCTCAAAATTAGTTGATGAAAACACATTCCAAAAGCACATAAAAATAAATATATTTCTTTAATTTATTTTTGATACTGCATTTTTCGATGGATGGCGGTGATGAACGTAACGTGGCAATCCCTATTTTCACTTACGGTAACGAAAAAATATTTATATTGTACACGTGCGTGCCCAATGAAACCTGTCGGTCGACAGGCCAATAAGCGGTGATTTAATAAGCCCCGACCGTCTATGTATAGAGCGATTTATACATAGATCCATTTCTTACGCCGGTAATAAAGATGTTTACAGTACCACACACTAAATAGCCAATATTTATCGCTTATCCATTAAAGAAGCTGATAATATTTTAGTAATAGTATTGCTGACAAATAAGCCTTTGATTAAATAGTATAATCTATACAAGATTGAATGTATTTTAAACGTAAAATACTACGAAGTCCTAGTTCGAGCAGAAAACAATGGAGCGAAATGAAAATATTACATGAATTTAAAAAAATATGGATTAATAATTAGTTTAACTTTAGCTTTGAAGGTATCTTGCTCTATGCCGTAGGTTTTCTTCAAAACGGAATTTAAGCCGAATTGCACGAAATGATAGAATGACCCAAGTACTTTTGGCTAATTACACATTTCACGCGTT